CATCCAGGTTCTGTGGAATATCATTCTTTGTCTTTAGATGTTCATTGACGAAGGACGTTGGATATCCATTTTTGATTGGAGTTTTTCTGAAGGACTCCAATTCCTTATTCTTTGCGTCTTCAGTACATATACGGTAGATTCACATTACAAAAGAGACAATGAGATTTCTTTTTCTGTTCATCGGAACAATACTGTGATGGTTTGTCAGATGTTCATCGCAATTTGGCTTATGGTAAACTGACGTTTGTAGGTTCCCACCTGACCGTCTTGTAAGCTGGACGCCTAGAAACGCTAATTTACCCCATGAGTCCGCTTCAGTTTTGAATTCGACTGACTGATTAATGTTGTTGAAGATTTTGTTTAGGTCAGTATTTTCATCAGTAATGATAAATATATCATTCGTATACCGCTTGTAAACTTCAAATCGTTTGATTGTTAGCAGGAAGATATTTGACTCAAGATACTCACTTATACAATCAGCGAGCAATGGAGCAAGTGGAGAAACCATTGATAATCCATCTTTCTGTCGACATATTTCACCACTGAATCAAAACTGTGCATTCAGTGTACATCTCACGGTTAATTCTACGATATGCTAAGTTGGTACACAAAATCTCAGATTATTTGAGTCGATAAACCTACATAGTAAGCATAAACACATTCCGTTAAGGGGACATTGGCGAATACAGAAACTATGTGCAACGAAGTCATAGTTAACGCAGATACATTTATTTGATTTAGTCAATCCACAAATTCAAACATTCTTCAGACGGTGCTTCACACCTAGCTTTCTTACAGGTCCTAGATTTCTCACCAGTCATCATACAATGATATGATAAGATCGGAGGCAGGGGTACCCCTTCTTTATAATTTTTGGTAAGTCATATAAGAGGGAAATTGTTGAACCACACGACTGTATCATTTCATAGGTTTATGAGCTAATTATTGATTGACGTTTCATTTTCAAACGGATCTTTGTTTACTGCTTTTCACTTTTTGCAGTGTTGTCTTTTTTACCAATCGTCACCGTAAATTCCTGTCATCTTTTGAATATAGTCTGATCTATCTGGTAAAACTACCTTACTGCCTTTATCTTCTCTCAATTAGTTTCATCAACAAAAAATAACCCACGTCTGACGTTTCTAATAAGTCTAATAAGCTGGCGAAGGTTACTAAATGCTCATGGGTTTTCCATTTCCTTCGCCTTCGTCAGCTGCCACTATAAGCTAACGTTAGCTGGACTTTCAGTCCACCTAATTTTAGTCAGCTTTCTCTGCCCACCACTTTCGAAGTTAAACATTATCAGTCTTCTTTCATCCGTCACTTAAAATAGGGCTACAGAAATTCACTTCCATCTTAACAACTCTTGACGGCAGGTTATTGATTGTTTTCACATTTATTTTTACACTAAACTGGATATAGTGGCAAGAATTATTGGGGAAAATAGTACTCTAATGCTTGAACAAATGTTTGTTTTACCTCCTTCTAAAATACAAGCGTAAGTCTTCCATCGAAAAGAGGAACCTTCAGAGGCTTTGCAGCTATTTATTTTCTACATTCACTCCATCCGTACTCACACTTATACGGACTAATGCATGACCAAAAGAAGCGGCAAATTTACATATATCATCTTTCATTAGTTGATACTGGTCGTCGTTAAGTTTGGCAGCTCAGAAAGTTTGAGCTAGATGGAAACAGGTGATGGGCGAACAGAGACGCTGTAAAAGACCATCACAGTTATTGGATTTTCGGAAATGAATTCTGCAGATACCCCTGGTATAATTTATGACTGGTTCAGTAAACATTAAAGTCACTTGCTAATGTAACTTAACTTTTTTTCAACAAAACTCTATCTTTTTTAATGAAACGTCTCTGTGAAATACGAAAACTGGAGATTATGAAAAGACAGACGACTATAATAACCCTTCCCTATTCTTACGGATAGATTCAGATAAACACTAAACACATGACGTTTTTGGGATCCAGCCTTTACTGCTCTAGAGCTCATGGCTATCTCTAAAGCAGTAAGCCCATGAGAAATAGTCAGACAATTACTTTAGAGTGAATTTTTTAGGTGCATCATGTTGACCATCTAGAGTTTAGTGAGGATTCACGCATAAGTGTTTTTATAAAGTCCATCTTCCGGATATCAGGATTTAAAATAGTAAGGTGTGTTCTATATCAGATAAGTTTTTTTCATATAACACACAGTAATACAGTATTAGTGACCGGAAGACTTTTCATGACAATCGACTGCTCATAATCATATCGTTATGTTTACATAAATTGGTAACCTGGTTCATTTAGCCTTATTTCCAGCAATTCTTATTGAGATTTTCCATATATATCCGGTTAAAAGCATTGCTTTATTTCAATTACGTATGTTCGGTGTTGATTCCATGAACAAAGACTTGGTGAATAATCTCTTTCCACACCTAACTCGAAATGTCATAGAATTATTACTGTGTGTTATGGCAAATGAACTAAACTAATGTGGAGTAATAGCCTACCATAGTGTCTGAATTCGAGTCTTGCAGTGAGCTGTGTTACTCAAATTGACGTAGTGTTCAGTATTTGAGGGCTGCAATATTTGCTCTGCTCTTTTGTTTTAAATAACTAAGTTTCTCCGGTAAAAAATGTTGAAAATATTAGAGAAGTTGAATAGCCTACCTATATAAAAATATTGAAATTGAGGAGAAAGATAAATGTTGACTGTCATGGATAATGGTGTATCCCACGAGTAATTAGAATTCCAGTGATACTGCCTACTTTCTCCATTGATTTATACTCCAGCGCACTGCCGAAGTTATATTCGTGGATTAGTGAAATAACAACATGGTACAGTTTAAAAGCCAGTTCTAAGCGCTTATAAAGAGTGAAAGTTGGATGTGAAGCTATGTCACTGAGGTGAGCTTTAATAGCAAACGAGTAATTAAGTCTTCAAGAATGATATGGGGACAGTGTGAGGAAAATCAACCCCGTCTCTGCAGAAACTTAAAAGCAGAGATAAATATTTTAAAAAACACAAATTTATCCTCCTTTTGCATCAGATAGACGAAATCAAGTGGAATAGTAAAAGCCTTCGAAAACCTAATCAGATCATGCGTCTTCTTACAATGAAAGCAACAACAACAATGTGGACGTGATATGGAACCACCTCCGAAGTTGACTCACAAGGCTTCTCGGATAACGAAATAAACGAGAAGATATAGTATGGAGGTGGCAGGAGTTTGTGGTAGGAGATGGAATGGAGATCCACTACCCAAATAGTAAACTGGACAGTCAACAATCTACTCCATTCACTCACATGACAACCACGATTACACTGACGGAGTGGCTGTTGTAATATCACCAACATCATCGAAGCCTCTGAAGGCAATGGAAATCAATCTCCACTAGCGAGATACAACTCGAAATATTGAAGAGTTGTAATTGTCCAATACCACTCCCCCATAGAAACTTCAAGCCTCTAGCTTGAACCCCTATGTTCCACTGGAAACGTGAAGGAATAAAAAATACTCCCCCATAGACAACGTAGACTATGGGAAAAAGGGAGACTCCTGCAGGTAGATGGTGACATCGAAATTCTGGTGTATGTGTGTATGGTGTGAATTGCAAACTGTGATAAAGGAGATTTGTTGGTGTGTTTGGTGATTTTGATTTGGTTGTGTTCAACACCCAGAAACTGTAGGAAGGAAATACGCGGGACAAATTCACTGCAGGCATCAGAGGAATGTAACATCACCGAGGAAACTTGTTTGGACAGGTAGCGGAGAGACAAGAATACGTTGGACTGATAAGAGTACTGTGGAAGATTCGATCTTCGCGGACTATTTATGTCCAGTGTCATATGAATTTGAAAACATATAGGAAAAAACCAACGAGTTGGCAAGAGAGGTAGGCATCAAACACAGATCTTCTAGTGAACAAGAAGAAAGAGGTAGTGAACATGACTAACCGACAAGAATAAGCATCACTCACTATCAGTGGGAAAAATTTGAAGAAAGTCCCTTCCTACACTTATCTGGACAGCATCAGTTCAACTACTGTTGCCATATCAACACGAGCCAGTACCGGGAAATTAACTGAGACTTTCGCTTCTCTGAAAGCAGTTTTGGAATACATTGCACTCAGAACGAGATCCAGATTTTTAACACTAATATCAAATGAGCGCTTCTATATGGTTCAGATGCTTTGCGAGTTACACAAAGCATTTACAACAGAGAGGCATCAACCTTCGCTTGATACTGGAAACCAGATGGCTTGTGTAGAAGGATAAGCAAAGAGAAATTCTGGCAACCGGTCAATCAAGAGCTCACAGCCCAACAAATGTCCAGAAAGGATACGAGATAGGCTGATCATACGCTGAGGTGACCGTTGAGTGACAATGCGCATCAGGTCATCGAGTGGAGGATGAATGGGAAACGTCGTCCAAGCGTGATATGGAAATAGTGCGAGTAGGAGATGAAAGCAGCTATAAAGTACTGCAGAGAACGGAACAGAGTGGAGATGTACTTTTGAAGCTCGGTGTTCCACTTGGAACCAAAGAGAGTATTAGTAATTGTGATTTAAGCACTATATAACTACTAGATACCTTACCGCTTTTCACAAAAATGTATCCCTAGATGCGGACCATACAATATGAACACTCTTTCTCCATCGAATTTGCAGACAACACTTGCAATGATAAAAATGGCTTCTGCCCTAGAAATGAAGCTGAAATCAGGACTTATTTAATATCCGCTCGTAAAACCGAAGATCAAAGATTTAGGACAATAGCATAATTTAATACTGGCTTTTCTAACTCGAAATTTTTCACAACAAATCGTACATACTCCCACATTTCTTTGTCGTAATTACGCAACTGTGTTTTTTTCGCTTTATTTCCACTTTCACTACTTTCTACTCATGTATATTTTATCAATGGACCTATAGGGAAATATACATTTATATATATACCATTCATTTTTGTATACATCTCACAAATATAAGAAAGATTAGTTAACAACAGAGTTTATTCATCTAGTTCACGTTTAAAAGTAGTACAGAAGTATAGGTAGTATAAATGTTATTACGTCACACTGTGCTTATTTTAAGTGTGTATATACTGAATTTGTTTATCCGACAACTAATTTACTGTTTAACTGAAAAAGCACCAAAAATAAAATAAAATAAATAAAGATATATACGTAAACAATATTAACACAGAAGAAGACATTTAGAATAATGTTGTTCCCCTCATCACATCTATTCTTAAATAAAATGTAAAGTCATGCTGTAACTTTGTCCATTATTATACAGCTAATTTTATCAGATAAGAATTAAAAAGAGGAAAGTGAACTGTGAGAAGGAAAAAAAAAAACTTAAAGCTGATCAATAAACGGATGAAATAGGACGTAGGATGTACATATTATACTACTACTACTACTACTGCTACTACTCAGTAATAATAATTCTTCTTTCTTTCTTTTGTCAACAGTAATAAAAAAAATGCTTTTCTCTTATTGCGTCATCATGATTAGGATTGTAAGTAATGCTTCATACAATTGCGGTAGAGTAGAGGTAGGGTAATACTACTAATGCTATTACTAGAAGACTACAGTATCTAAGTAAAATAATATTGCTCACTCTCTTTTCTCTATAGAAGTAAATACAACTAACTTATGTTTGCTAGTCAGTCAGTCAGTCAGTCATTAGGAATAATAGTATAGTAAATTTAGACAGACAAGGAATATACTCCTCACTCATAACAACATAGTAGTCGGTAATATTGAACATAAAGACATGCACAAATGCAGAATATGAAGTTGATTAACAAAAAGAAAGAGGAAAAAGACAAACGAAAAATTGAGATAGGAGAACTGATCCAGATAGAGTGAAAAATAATTACCTGTATTGTTTTGTTGTTTTGGTTTGTTCACCAAATCGAATAAAAGCATTTTTTAAAAATAAAAAACACAATCAAGTCAGAATACTGAAGAAAAGTGTAACACTAACAAAATAAAAACTAGTTTCGAGAATATATTTCTCTCAAATGAATATTAGTGAGGAATCATCAACATAGATCCCCGTATCAGTTCAGATATAATCATGCTGGTTGTGACGAGAATGAGAATGAAGACAACATTTCACAATGTAAAGAAGAAATAGAATACAGCAGAATAAAAAAGTAACGATTTATGCATCAGTATAAGGAATGATTATAATTCATTATAAATGAATATGTGATAACCGTGATGAAAAAAGGACTGATTGGAAAAAAGAAATCCAAGATATTAGTAAAAACAGAAAAGGTGGTATTATATTAATGCAAAAAAGAAAAATACAACAACAGGAATTACATCACTGAGTTTGATCATATAAACAGTTGTCTTTTACAACTACCATGCCATATAGCAGAACCAAGACAAACTGAATTTAGACAATATTGTTTATAAGATATTATACTTCAAAAAAAATCAAACATGAATAATTTTACAATATTATCAAATAAAAACAAATAGTAAATAATACCTCAGTTTCTCAAATGAAAAAAGCCCATCAGTCAGCAGTTTCAATACACCGAAACAGTAGTCTGTAATGATGCAAGCAGTTGATTCGAAAAGATGCAATGAATGTAAATTCAATTGGCACGTTCAGTTATCAGCTTTAATCAACTAGTACCTTGTAATATATTACAAGATCAGAACATGCTGTCACAAAACAATGATCTTGGTAACCAAAACCAAAAGTTGCTACGCTCTAGATGCTGCACCATCGAAATTTCCCATATGGGTACGACCATCTACACAGTCATCTCCATCTTCAACTTCATGTCCATCACTGTCTCCTGGGGCTAGCTCGTCCAATGCCTCCAAAAATCGAAGAGAATCAGCGAAACCAAGACCTAATTCAGACCGTAAACATTGTGTGAAATATTCTGGAGCCCAAATACGTAAACCAGCTAGCTGAGATAATAGAACGCCATCGATACCACCAGCTATTTGGGAAGGTACATGACCTAACCCACGGAATTTCAACCAAGAAGCAACTTTACATGTAGACCAATTACGAACCGATGGACGAATGGCATGACGCCATGCACTGGTGGCTAGAGGTCGGGATATAACATTGGGCTGCAGATGAACCATATTTTGAGTAGAAATCGTAGATAATCCAGGATGACAGGAAAAAGGAATTCCGTCCTCACGTTTAGTACCTGAAGCCAGACCAAGAGAACCACGGTTACTGGCAACAGGATTTGCGCCGAAATGATTCACCGTAACATCTGAGTTTGGTATTCCAGGCACCCCCGTGTCACCAGCAATTGCTAGGTGTCTTTTGCTATCAGTAGTAGAATGATGCTGTGCAGCTGCAGCTTCGGCACGCCTCTTTGCTTCAGAATAACACTCCTTTACCTGGCTAATCAGAGCATCATAGCTAGCTTCCGGATCACGTTTGCCATTGAAATCAATAGGATGCTGGGCGATGAGGCGAGATAACCAGCCAGTTAATTTGAATTTCGGTTGTAATACAACAGGGATAATAGGTTTTGCATATGTATTAGTATCAAAACTAGAAAAATACTCCACTTCCAGTCGACAGCCAGGACTTAATCGGAAGGAATCACTCATAAATGCAATCATCACAGAAGCTTGTTCTACAGACTCTATCCATTGAGCATCATTTACTGCATTACTACCGCACATACTGAGTCCGGTTGCCGAAGCATCAGCAGATGATATTATTTCAGGACAGAAAGGAATACTGTTAAGCAGTATACCAGCGTCTCTTAAGCGATCAGCTATACGGTTAACAGCGATGCGATTAGATGGGGCAAAACACAGTAATACTGGGCCACATTCTATAGGTTCGCTTTTCAAACTTCTAGAAATAGGATTGTTTAGTTGCCAACTAATAGATTCCATTGCACGCAAAAGGGCTTTGCAAGACTGTAAAGATGTAGCATGAGCAGTCATGGTTTCATTCAACCAGTTGTTCAACTGTGTTTGTAATACTCCTGTACAGACAGATGGATCAAAAACAGTATTCCATAGAATACGTACTGCCTCCTCTGCCTCTCTAATAGAAACAGGACTAGAATTGGGAAGTAAAGCAGTTTCAATTAATTCCTTGAGTAGGCTTAAACATGTCATTCCATGTTCTGTACTTTGATTATTCCCAACTGAAATTAAATTTCCACCAACAGATGAGGATAATAAACTAGCTTTGATAGGATCATGAACCGATAGAGCAGCCACAGCAGACAGCAATTCAAGCACTTGAAATCCATGACATCTTCTTTTCTCAGAAACACGGGCAGAAGTAACATATCCAAACAGTATACGTAGTAAATCTATGCCACCTGTCGATGTATCAGTGATCAAATGAATTTCGGATTCATTAACAATATGCGCTAAACAAAGTGTAGAAACACAACGTAGAAATTCTTCTTCACGTTGAGCTAAGTGTAATAATGCCTGTCGAACTGATTCTGAGGCGAAATAATGTATATTACCAGGAACACGAGCTATATTATGAATAATGGATAGACTAGCTTTAATAAGGTAGTACACATTTTTACTGCTTAAATTCTCCAAATAAGGTTGATGGCCAATATTTAAATTGAGTAAGTTTGGTAAACCAGCAGTAGCTAAAGCAGTAGCGAATTCCGGCCAGATATCAGAGAAATTCCATGTTGTATTATAAAAGTAAAATGATGAAAACCAAATATCATCATTTTTAAACACCCCCATATTATTTAATTTCTTCATCATTTTCGATGCAAACGCTGGATAATCACAATTAGTTAAATGTTGAGCTAATTCAATTCGACATGAATGACAGTCAAAATAAGCTCGACTTAGTTGTTTACCCGTTTCATACATTGATCGTAGATCTGACATATCTTCTAAACTTCGAAATACTTCCATAATTTGATCAACGAAATTTCTTGCCTCTTCTAGTGTAAAACCTTTACGACATTGTGGTATTTCCATTGGACGTTTAGATATTGGCTCTGGATGATCCATTATTATGAATTGAAAAAATTATTGTTTACATGCAAAAGATACTTTTATGATGAATTTTTGCGCAAGAACCAATTAATATACGAACAGAAGAATAATTAGATCTTGATATATAAATATATCTTTAGTGTGTGAATTTGAACACTTGCTAGAGATAACTATTGATGACTTAAAACTCTTTGCGGCCTCTCTTGAGATTTTATGGTTGACTTGAATTAATAAGCTCGTTAAATGAATGTCTATATGGGTATAGATAATATAGATATGTGTGTATTTACTGATCAGTAGGAGTGATTGGATTTTGTGTCAGCTGAAAATAAGTAAAAAGAAAAAGAAAACAGTAACCTAAATATAGAAGTTAGATTATTAAAGTGTAGACGATGATTTTCGAAAAAATGAAGTATTTTTATTAGCAATTAGGCTGCCAAGACACAGTCTATGCATTCTACTTACATGAAGAGCTGAAACAGGAATTACGAGGAAGGATTACAACGTATGTTAGCAAGAGTTAAGAGGTATATGCAAGTTATGTTCTGCCAACCATAAAATGAATGCATTTACTTTGAATTTGAATTTCACACTATTCTAATAAGAAATATAATATTTTCCCGAGAGCAACAACTTGTTTAACAGCCGTGCTGAATACATTTGTAAATCCAAAGTTAGTTGAGTTATGACTATGTTTTCAGAAAAATGTTAGAGATAGCTGAAATATGGCATGCTACCAAACCATGTAATCTCTAACATTTAGTCTGAGCCTTGTAGAGAAGTGTAGTTTACCTGCCTGCAAAAGATTTTAATATGTTACGAAGCAATGGCACAAAATCCTTTACAGTGACACAGATATGTTTATCCATCATCTTTCCTCTTTCACACTCGAAACGCAGAAACCTGAGGAAACGAAAAAATAAAATATACATGCTTTTATAGTAAGAATACTGAGGAATCTATGCATCAGGCTTGATATTCTTAGAACTGACGTAGGGAAAAACAAAACGAATTATTACTCAGATCTGGAATTAATACAAGTTATGTTAGGCTACTGAATTATAATTCTGATCAAATGTCAGAAATACAAAAACAGATTAAAACAGGACACAACATTAACTGATAAATGATCAGAAAAATAAGTAAAAAGACTTTCTGCGAACATCAGTTGAATATCAAACTAATTATGTACGAGAAGTTATTTTATGGCCATTCCAAAACACAATTACTTCAACTTTCTTACTCTGGTATACTACATTAGTAATTGTTTAATCGAATAGATACAAATCAGGACCATTTACCTTCCTTTATAATGATGACAATTATTACGAATGGTACTAAGCAATTCCAATCCTATGTATTGCTTAAGCCTTAAGATGTGACGGTGGTTATTATGAAGACGGGGTGATAAGATTTAGAGAAGTTCAACTTTCACGTCGAAATGGCTTATCTTAAAAACGAGTTAGTAAAATCAATTTATTTTTTATATGGTCTTTTCAGGTGCAGTAGAGCATGCACATATATATATATATATATATATATATATATAAGATTAATAACGACAGCTATTCTGTATTTAAATACAGGAGAATAAGATAAACAGAGTGGAAACTTTTAACAGAGAATTTGAATTACTCCATTTATCGAAAGGGAAATTATCTCTGTATGTCCAGTAATAAAGTCACCGATATTGAAAAATTTCGCCACTGTAACTCCATTTATCGTTTATTCAACCAGGTATTATGCATCACATTTGGTAATAATTAATAGGAAAGTATATATATATATATGTGCAGCATCAAGCAGTCTACAAATACTGCCGAATATTTTCTCCATAAATCGTCCACATGAAATGTCAATATTTTTCTTTCATTTACGTTAACTTTCAAAATCACACTGCATATCTGTAGTCCCATTTAAATGTTTATATCATGTAAGCACTATTTAAACTGTGATGATTGTAAGGTACGTTCTACTATGTGGTCTTTCCGTCCGAATCTGGAATACAGTCTTTATGGAGGAAAGTAACATTTATGCGATAAAAGTTACAATGATTTAAAGAAAATTCAGTGACATGGAGAATCAATTTTGTTAGGCCTACATATGTATTTTATTAAAACATACGAATAAATGAATAAACCACCATCATCAACAATAACAACAGCAATGACAACAACCGCAAGCAGAATAAGAGAAGGAAAGACTGTTTATTATTTTTATTCTCAACCAATTTCATTTGTTGGACATGCACACACGTATAGAATGATTACAATATGCACTATAAATATGTATTTTGTACACATTTTAGGAAGAATTAGTTTAAGAAAAGGAAATAGTGAAGTCAATATTCAATAGAATATTGATTTGTTTACACTCTACTTCATTACTGATATGTGCTGGTTAAGATGGATTTCCGGGTAAAATGAATAAGGTTGAGTGATATTTGAGCAATTTTGCATATATTCAAATCCTTTTTTTTATCGAATTTTCACTGCATACAGTGGTCTTTGGTTATCCTCCTATCCCCTCTATATGTATATAAAAAAAGAGAAAAAAACGACGTGCTCAGAAACAGTGAGTAATCCACACAAGACTGGTATAAACATCTAATGGGTACTGTCTGACAAGTAGGTTTTATTTAGAACATTGTATTATGGAAATGAAATGAAATGCAACTGCTAGATCAATATTAATACTAGTTGTAAGACTGTCTATAAAACTGTTTAAAAAACATAATAAAATAACAATGAGAGTCAATCCTGAAGGGAATGTAAGCTAGTACAGTCAAATATCCCGAATAAGGACATGCAGTACGAAAACATAAAGGAGTAATTAGGAAATTATTTGTTTAGTTTCAGATATAAAAATGAAATCTATTAACGGTATGCAAGGATGATAACTTCTCATCATTAATAGGAGAATTGTACACGTATTGAGGTAGAATGGAGAGCAGAGATGTAACATTCTAAGTTATCCTACAAGAATGTAGCAAACAAAAGGTGACGGAAAAGAATACTTTTTAGGAATATTAATATTGAAGACAAATTTTATAGAACAACTAAAACTGTCCTTGTAAAATTTGGCATTTTGAAAAATTAACTGCTGTTATAACAACTGCGGACATAAAAAAACATCGGTCATGAAGTACTGCTTAGGCATTGTGTTATCCCTTACTTCTGGTGCTCAGAAATCAATTTATCTATCAGAAAAATGTGACTATTTTTCACAAAAATATTTTCAATACCAATGAGTATGCAACTAACAAGGTAATATATATATATAGACTAATCGTACCTAGTTGACTGAGAAACTCTCATCATGCAAACAATCCTTTAGTTCATTTTTGCGAATTCTTATTTTTTCCTACTTGAACTACCGAAGTACAACTGATTTCAAAAGAATACGTCATGAGTAAAAATTATGTATAGGAGCGTTGGAAATCAGGAAACAGTATGAAACTTCTTTATCCTAGAGTGAACCTAAGAACTGACACGGAATGGAGCTCAAGACCATAGTAGTGTAGAGTGTAAATGAACTCAAAAGTAGCACCTGTTACCTTATAAACTACTCGGCTAAACAATGTTATAGTTTAAAAAATGATCGAAAAAAGGCTGAGGATAAAAACTTAAACGTCCGAATGAACAATCCTTAGGCAGGAACAAAATGAAGACTACGAAACCTAGGAGACAATGAAGAATGATTTTGCATGTAATGGGAGTATTAAGAGCGTTGGAATTGAGTGAATAAGGTGAATAGGTGCCCCTTGAGTCTAGTGAACAGAAATTTATGTGTGTGACGATGGGGAACTCTGGTCAAATTATTACTGCACACATGTTTGTTACTGATGTTAGACGAAAACCTTTACATACATACATACTTACATACAATAAACATGTGTGACTAAGTATTACGTCTAAATATAATCGTATTCTAAAGTTATGAATTGAATAATTTTAAAATTGTATGCATCATGTACCATTATGGAAATAGTACTTCAATAACAACTGGATCACCAGAAATATGATTCAGTAAGCTTAGGCCATGGCCATTTTGTGTGACTTTGTGGAATGCCACCTTACACTCGTAACCTAGGTAGAAGAATGGCTGTTCATCTGGTGTAAATCTGAGTGTCCAGATCAATAGGACAGTTTTACATGACAATTAAACGGTTCATGCTATATGAATAAATGAAAATATCCTACACTATAACAAATTGGATGCTAAAAGAAGGATGTATACGAAATGTGTGGAAGCAAGTAATATTTGTTATTCAGAAGTGTGAAGTGGGGTTAAAACACTGTTTATATCAGTAAATCAAATCACTTCGAAAGTGTATCAGTATAAATTTGTAACTGCTTTTTCACTGGACCTTAATCTATACAGTCTAATATCAAAAGCAACATGATATGCAAATTAATATAGAAATGTTAATCGTGACCTCAGAGCATACATATGTATATGGTATATGGTAATAAAACAAACGGAATAGTCTTATTAAAACATACATAAAACATTTTTATGACATCCCAGAAATGACAAGAAAGTATTCGATACATTAAATTTCGAGTAATAAGGATCATAGGTAAAAATGTGACAAATTTCTCGAAAAAACAGATAAATGCAAATAACTGAAGAAAACACCAAAAAAGCTACGTGATGTAGGCAATGAATGCATAATTTATTCATGGGTATCCCTAAAAACGAAATTAATTAGCGAAGGGTAATGGTCAATATACACCGGACAGGCTGACAGAAATTTCGTAAATTTAGTTACAACTATAAATTTAAACGTGGAAATAATAACAGTGATTGCATAAAACTATGATGTCGTTTTCATTTCACTGGATACTTTCAGCTCCATACAGCCTAATTATTCACTCGAAATATTAATATTAACAAACACATATTCGTTGTATTTCAGCTGTTCAAGGACCAAATAAGCGAAGTCTCACTATCGACATCTCTCCATCATATGGCAATACGATAAATACGATAAACTCTTGCAAGATGGTGTTAAATATGAGATACTGTGATACCTTACTGAAAATGCGATCTACGTTTTGGAGAGCTTTAACGTAGGTAAATATTACTGTATAGGTTGGAAATATGTTTGTGCCGGATAAAACTATGCAGGATTTAAAATGCACACAAATATAAGGTCATGATGAATAAATCTGTAGTAATCAGTGTGGCCTGTTAAATGCCATAGAATAAGTAAAGCAGCATCGTTGTGAATGGAAGATATTTTACGCATACCAAAGCATTGGCTTCTTCAACTGGTAATGCGGTCACACCGAAATGTAGCATCAACTTACTGAACTACTCATTCATCTGCAGTCTAAAACACATAAGGAGGACGTGTAATGTGCCTGACTACGGATGCTGCAAATCAATGGTTGGCAGTATCTTATTTACCTAGCTCATCCGCGTAGATATATTTACTAATTACCATCACTATACTCTCCTTTCTATTCACTGTTGCATTATTCCACATTTCTTTGTACTAATTTAAAATTCAGCTATTTGAACTGATACCGGTTTCTTAAAAACTTCAGCGATTCCGAAAATATATGTATATACAATGGAGACATACAAATTTTAATAATAATATAATCATTTACATCGATAGATAAATGTCTTGATTGCAATCTAGGATTCAAATAATCTTATCAAACAATTAACAATAAGTTGATTAGAGAACTATCGAAAAGTCAGATGCAAAAAAATATAATCTGCACCAGTACAGCAGGAGTTGAGATAGCAGAAACGGGTGAGTAAATAGAACAAATCTCGATGGTCTAATCATGTTTTAGGATGGTCAGCATCACAGCAATAGTATTGAAAACAGGAATGAAATCATTAAAAAAAACCATAGGATTGTTCCCCTGATTACTTTATGACGATGAATAATTTATAATGCATACCAAATTTAGTGGTTACTACCATTCTTTTTCTTAAAGTAGAAGAAATATATAAGCAGTGACAGGGAAAGATTGAAATCATATGAACAAAATGGGAAGTTATAAATTTTATATCACGTGACTCGTCTATGCAGTGGCGTATTGACTAATTTATACTACAGCGTTCACAAGATCCTTCTTAAGCACCTTAAAATTTAATTGTTACTCTCACATTTGAAATTCTGGTTCGTATACAGCAAACATCTGTTGGGACAAACTACTGAAAGATTCAGGGGATAACAAATCTTCAATACATAATCAACACATACAAAGAAAAGATTATAACTGAACTTAAAATCCTGAATATGACATGTTGTCTATCCATATATATATATATATATATATATATATATATATATATATATGCATTAGACGGCAATGAGTGACCTGAGATACGATACAATAATAAACACTTCCTTCCTTCGAAGCATAGAAATGAAAAAAAACGCTAAACAATGCATTGAATTTCAGCACAAGAAGAATAATAATAAAAGGCAGTAGTAGACATATATGGAAAGAATTTTCACACTAAGAGGATTATTGTCAACTGAGAAAACATAAAAGGTTTACGTTATGTTATTTTGTCAGCGTGTAGAAATCCTGACAAACTTTTCAGTTCTATCCCCATTAAACAGCTATCTAGTGAAAACTCAGAAAATTTTGAGGCAGAAAAATAATAATAATAGTAACAGTAATATTCATCATCCTAGTAATATTCATAATAATAGGAAGAACAGGGGATAGATGACTGGGGAAGAATAAGTTGTTAGCTGTGGAAATTTTAACTGGTAGATGTAGTTATTAGAAATAACCAATGAAAATCAATGGGATGAAAAGTAAAAACGGTAATATACAGGCTAAAAATGATCGATCGATCAATGCGCCCGAAAAACTTAATCAATAGTTGTTAGTTAGCTTTGGCTAGTTTAGCTGACCAGTAAATAGAAAATCAAAGTAAGATTAATTTGGCAAAACTCTGAAAATTCTGTAAGCATAATTCCAGTGTCACACACAAGACAAACGAAAGAAATGGCTTAAAGTATGGAGAAAGAAAAGGAAGCTATAGTATTTCAGCGTATAGACTTATGCATGCATGCGTCTGTTTATATTTCTAGACCAAAATACAATGCATTTAAGACGAAAGTAAAAATGGTAAACTTTTGGGTTGGATAAGGATAAAAATAGAAAGCATTTTACAATAAAAGTTCAGTTTTATATGAACACTGATCTTCTATTTTCCTAATCAAGTTTGTGCGTAAGTAAAACAATACCTTGCTTACCTACCCCAGCAACAAATGGATAGATGTATGTGATCTTCGTATTCATTGCATCACAAAATAAGTTATATACACGATCTTCAAACATGAAGGTTATTCAGTATTTCGAATAAATGTTAACAGACTAGAATGTGAAATTTTGCCAATAGGAAAAGTAATGTGCTTATATTACGATTCAGTATTTAATAAAAAAGGGGAGAATACAAAAACGAAAAATAAAACTTTCAGACTAATGAAAAAAGTAATTTTGAAGTCTACTGAATCTAGAATTTTTAAGGCAAATTATTAAATTTATAAACCAATATTTTCTAGATATTTTTGTCATTAAAGTGCCTTGACAACAGGTATTTTAGCTGGCGTATTGTTTACAAAAACTATAACATTTGTGTGTAAATAAAATTAAAAATCAAACTACTATGTGCAGAAAAAATGGCGATCAACTCGAAATGGAAACAGAAGTATTTCCAATACATTATTGTTTTAATTGTATTTTTTTCCTGTTACGTAGCATCTTTCTTCACATATTAGGTTGATTAGTATGTTTTAGAGTTAAATTTTCGATGTCTCAACTGTAACTTATGCTGCCTTTCAGTTTGTTGACTTGTTAACTGTTCAGTACACTTAAATTTCATTTCATCAGAAGATGTATTACTTCTCTCCAATCTTATCACTTCAACTTAAGATAACAGTTCTTATGATTATTACCAGGAGCATTATTATTCCCTTTGTTTCTGAAAGGAACATACTGCTTCAACAGCACATCTGCATTTTATTCCGTTCTCCGAAGGCCTATTTAGCCTAACCGACGATGACCCACAAGCTCTCACCTCCTCTTCACAAGGCCTTCTCCAGTTCACTTTCGGAAACACGCCAAACTTGCCGTTTCCCATTCGGCTTCCACAGGAGCGATGCTCTGGCGTGCGATGTCTTATCGGTTCAACGTATTCATGTCTTCTCGCTACAGATGCACAATCTGACGGGCTAAGTCCTGCATCCAGTGCACCTTTTAGTCTCTCTACTTCTTGTGATACGGTGCTCTTATTTCACGTAAACAACTGAGAAGATCAACAGAAATCCGCTCTTTTATACGAAAGTTTGTTTCAAATATTTGTTGGTCAACAAATTTGTATTCTGAAAGAAAAACGTTTTCGAACAATATTTATTGCAAATCAGTCAACTCCCCGTTGTACAATTTTGGCACAGTGCTGTCAAAATAACTCTTTTCCTTTAAAAAAAATCGTTCACTTACCTCCAGTATAAGTGACTTTATTCGAAACCAAAACATCTGCCTGTAATGGAGTCATTTGTAGATAATGTGAATCGGGATTTTTCTAGTTTGAAAACAAAACAAAATACTAAGTCACTTTATGCAATAAATGATATATTATCAGCGTACATCAATCGTAGGGGGCCAGTCATCAACAAATCTGATATGCATAACATTAGACCTTGAACCTTATAAACATATGGGGAGTTGGAGACATTGAGTTATTTAGATACATTCTTTAGTTATCGATTAAAGGAAAACTGATGAACAATACTTCTTTTTTTAAATACTTGCAAGATATTTTGATATAGGTTGTGAAATATTCATAAAAGAGTTAGACTTATAACTAACTGTTCAACATTACAATGAAATGCATTACTTACAGTGAACTCGGAATGTAAAACTGGACCCATTGCTTCATAGACAACTTGATCTACTAATGGATATGTTTGACAAAGATACTAAAAAAATGTATAAAAGAAAAGCGTATTGTTTTATTATTACTACTAGTAGTTGATTGAGTACACAAAGCTATAGTTCATTAGTTTCACTACCCGCCTATTAATACTGAGAATACATATAATCTCCAATTTATTGATGTCATTAGTGCGATAGAAATAGTATTATACATGAAATGTATTATGCTGGATAGAGCATACATATACAGAATGTTATTATTCACAGCTAAACCTTTTAAGAAAACAATTTTCGTCCAGTTTAGAAGTTATTTTTTATTCTTTACGCAAAATATTTGCAAATGCATTCAGCTAACGAACAGATTTTAACATGACAATATTACTCAGATGAATTTCAACAAATTCACAGTATGTTTAATAGACTGAAAAACAGAGAATTCAAAAAGGTTTTGTTTAAATGAACAATTGCTCAATAGGCTTTTTGGATCTTTACAACTGTAAATGTCAAATTTCTTAATTGCATACTTGTAGGCACTACAGATAATACTGAAACAGACTGATTCAACGTTATGCCTTGAGTATAAATGTGTATGTGTGGATATACTAGTACACTACACAACAGAACAAAGATAGGAAATTAACAGGAAAGAAGGTAAACTAAAATAAGAGAGGAGATTATGAGAGGAAACAATAACTAATAAATCCAGGGAGATAAATGTCCCAAATTTGCTTTTCAAGTTGGTTTTTCTGAGCTAATCAGATATTGCTTACAACTATTCGTCATTTGCATCACTTTAACTAAGCCAATCAGCATTAAGAATAATGGTTAAATCTTTATGTTAATCAGAATTTACACAGATGCATACACTTATTAAAAGTATAGGCAAAAATGTGAGAAACATTCGCTACCAATTATTTGTCTTACCTCCAAAGCCAAACTGGCCTGTCTTTGACTATCTGGGAATTCAAGATTACCCATGGCATATAAAAGACTTGATACAGCGCCCATCTACAAAATGAATGAATAAAGAAGAGTTCAAATATTACAGTGGTTTACTGGGTAAAAAAGTGTGACAAATTTTGTTTGCAATGTCAATAAAGATTTGAACAAAATGTAAGACTAATGAATGTATATAATTTACGTGTGCCTACCCTGCAAAATTTAATCAATTCAGGATATAATATGCACACACACATAATCGCCTTATCAAATAAAAACCAACAGAGAAATAAGATCATACGATTTTGCCAAATCGACTGCAGTAAATCAATTTTCACTTCTGCTTTCCTCATAAAAGAATTTTATGATTGTGGGTTGACCCTGATAAACAGTACATCGACCTAATTATGCGACACTTTTTTTTACTCAGTTTGCATTGTTTTCTAATCTTCAATAAAACAGCGCTCAGTAATCTGCCTTTCTGTACGTTTCCAAAAGATGAGTTGTTCGTACACTTCTAGCTGAAAACAAATCTCAAACTATTCAAACTATCCGTTGGTATTTTATGAAGTTTATACCTAGTATTTTAATTCGTGTGTTGCATTACGTAAAAGGAGCAGGTATTTGTAAGTAAGTAGTGCACTTAGTAAGCTGTCAGGCAGGCGCCTTTACAATGAATCTATGGTCTGTTGTTACGTAAAAAATAACACCTTAGTTTTCTTTTTCTGAAGACCTCTCTATTCTATTATCTGCCCAACATGTATTCACTGAAAGCATATCTTTCAGTATCAGCAGAGGATATATGCAAGTACAATACCAAACTGTCTAAATAATATATTGTTTGATATTAACTTGTGTGGTCAAGTTTTATAACAAATAATTAGTGTTTTTTATTCTGTTTACTTCATGTTAGACAAAACGCCCCCAAAAAATAAGAATCCAATCGTTTTGTCATATGTTGATACCACAGTCTAAAAATTACAGAAAGTTTTATGAAATAATTACTTGTTTGACACTTTTTGTTAAGAGTATTTAAATACAGGGGTATTAATATATTTATATATATTATATGGAGACGGAGAGAGATGGAGATCCAAAGGTAGCTCACTGGACAAGGCATTTGACTTTCACAGCCGATGGTTTGGAGGTGCAGACTATGAACTGCAAACTTTGACGTTCACAAGTAGTTAATATTATTATTATTATTATTATTATTACTATTATTCAGCCATGTGCTAGGCACAAAGTGAGCGTCAAATTATCATTCATACAACAACACAATAATAAAAGAAGAAAAAGAAATTAAGCAATGACTTAGAAAACAGGTGGTGATTCTCATGAAGTGTATACGACTGAGTATTTGTCATTTTGGATAGCTTCGATAGTGAAAGAAGAGAGCCTAAAGCCGCGGGGTTTCCATTGATTTGAATTAGAGCTACATCTTAAATGTCAAACTATTGAATTGCATAACTGAATTGATGAACTTCAAAAGGAAAATTACGGTACAGGAGAAGATACTAGTTGACTTAACGCAAAACAATCTCTATTCACATAGTGATAATTATTGAAATGACCATATGTTAACTTTAAAACAGAGTCGAAAGCAAACAAAGAGGCAGTCATATACAATCCACTTCAACAACTTTTTAAACATATGATCAATCCAAAGAAGTTGGTGTTTAACTTACAGACCTCGAATTTATTCAAACATATGTCATCACAGGATGCCTCTGTTATTGACTGACTGTATGTTCCAAGATAAATGATACAGATTCATATTATTTTGTATTTATTCTCTACATATGACGAACAATATTTACTTTATTTAACGGCAACAGCGCTATAAAACACCTTAACTTGTCAGTCTTTTTTGATGTGCGTCGGTGGCACATTGGTTAGGACTCTCGCCGACCATGCACATGGTCCGTGGTTCGATCCCCTGCCGACGCACACCCGATATCTATGGTCGGCCTGTAAAATTTGGGCTACCGATATCCATGCTGAAAATGCCATACTTGTATTGAAAATACGGTGTGGCACCAAGCTGCAATCAAAAATAAAAAATAAAAATGTGTTTACCTTGATAATTTCATCAAAAGAGTGTAAATCACCCACCCAGAATGTACCATTCTTATACCAGTCAACTCCGACAATCAGTCAGAATTACATTGCTCATAATAGTTGTGGAAACCATCTAATATTATAGGTAACTCCAAATTAATTTTCGAAATTATACACACTACAACAGAGGTCGAAATTATACAATACGGTTCACTGAACTTAAGTGCACCATACACAACAGAATCCTATACACTGACTGATAAGATTATTCTTTTAAAGAAACCAGTGTAAGGAACAAACAAGAGTATATGTATATATACTTACCTTAATTATTTTTATTGCGACTGTTGGGGAATCCTGGGCGAGGATGCTGTAAGAAGGTGAGTGAAGAAGGTGAAGGTATACAACATGTTTATAATGTTCCAATATATATATATACATCTAAGCCCTTAGAATATGTGAAAAATGATGTCACATCTGTCTGTACTTACCAATTTGAATGTACATATAGCCACACATACACAGGGAGGACTCGTCGGTCTCTGCAAGTAAGGGCTGGCTTCAGAGCATATTCCCAAATGATTCCAGTAGCAAATGGAATCTCCAGGACTCACTAATGGTGAGAACGGGAAACCCAGCTCCTTTATTGCAAAACATATTACAGAGATAAGACATAAAATTGGTGTTTACACACCTTTTAAACCTATCTGTAGAACGCGTTTGGGGCGTGTCCTAAAGTTTGTAGAAGCCCTAGCTGGCAATTAGGAGGTTTTAACCACCTTTATGTATTGAAAAACTATTCGTCATCACATTAAACCTTCCTTGGTAAACTTTGTTTTGATATCAGGGTAGATGTACTATTACCTCTCTTATTTGGTTTAGTGATCTTCACTGTTATTCTGACTTTCAATATGCCATTTCAACTTGACCTAAGTCTATTTTCACGCCTCTTAACTCTACATCAATTTCATTCATATTCCTATGACAAGTGCGTATGTGATCAGATTGTTCGAAATGTGTTGCGCAAATACATTACACGATTCAGACAAATTACGTCTTTTTATTGCTTTGTCTAAATTCATAAGGGGACCAATTATTTCAAATGTTCCAATAGTTTAAACACAAAACAGAAACGTCAAAAGTACGATTTTACTTGGTTGGTTCAATAAAGGTGATTAACGGGAAATTCGAAAGAACACCAACAACTAACATCTGATACTATCTATGAAAGTGGTAGCTGTTTTCACTCAGTAGCTTACTCCACAAGTCCTTGACGTTTGAGAAGAAGGATATTGGGTTTTAGTTCCACTCAAAATGTCATCAACGCTTTGGGGATGTAGGCACATCAAAATGGAGAGTCCAAAATAGAACTAGACGCCAATCGTAAGTTCCACTGTAGGCCACCACCCATCAAGTAGCATGTTAATCTCAAGGCATTTTCGAATCATCCACACTGGTGGCCGACATTTCAACGGAGACCAAGCATTTCAGTCTTATGAAATCAAAAATAACTTCAAAAGTGAAAAAAACACGTAGACGCAAAATGTCTGGGAAATTCATATCGTAAAACTTTACAGCTAACAACGATGTTTTCTGTTATGCTTGGTGTAATCAATCAGATAATGATTGCTTGTTTATGGTTTAAACTTCCGTGAATATAGAGACGATATATATGTATATGGGGTATTTTTGATAATAAAGTTGTTGCCGCAGCTAGATCTGACTTTTGTGTCTACCTCAGTGTGGAGGAATATTTCCAAGTGATCGGTTGGCTACAGTATCGTGAATGGAGGCACAAGATAGACAACAACAACAAAATCACTAACACTCCGTTACAACAATAACTCCACTGAAAACCAGTGTCTAGAATAAATGAGGAATGTGATATCTGTGCTGAAATCAGCAGGTTCTACTAACGAAGTTGAAGTAGGGAAAATTTAAATAAATGTTTGATATTCTTTGTGATGTAAGCAACCGTAAGGTTCTGGTGTTAGATCCACTAAACATTTATTGTCAATGTACGAAAATATACAGTCTATTTGTCCTGATGCTCTAACATTACAAATAGTATTTGGGACAGCTGATCATTTAGTCGAACTTTAAGTCTTCCAGTTTTAATTAATGTTACGTATTTAACTCCAGTGGAAGTGTGAAGAATAAAGTCGCGTAATTATCCCTTTTCAAGCAGAGTGAAATCGTAATTCAGGATGCAAACACATGCAAAGATATTGAGTTGTAAGCAAAATAAGAATATTCACTAACACAAAGGTGAACTGCATTTTGAGTCAACCTGTTAGCATATTTGAAAGCATACAGTTATCTATCGGATCTAAGAAACATGTCTTAACATGACAGAAATGCATAAATGAACGATTCTATCGAATTCTATTCATTAGAAATAAAAACCAAAATTAGTGATAAATAAAGCCAGTAATCAGAGTATAACAACCACAAAAAAAGTGATAATAAATATCCCTCTGTGCTTGTTTCAAGTGCACATTCCTTTTTTCTCTTTCAGATAAAAGAACAGTTTACGGTTAGTGAAGCAAAGATATCAATAAACATTACAATAATGTGCAGTTGAAATAAGCGATTGAAAATTGTGTTCAATCAAATCACACATATACGCACATGCATGCACATACACAAATAGAGAAATTTATTAGATTAATTGGCTGTGGATAGGATATTACAATTCTGTATGTACTGAATATACTTTCCAAAAAAATATTTACACTTTAACAGAATCAGGTGTCACCCAGGTAGGAGACATAAAGGAGGTGGTAAACTAGGTGTGCAGCTGATTTTCTTTTTTTTTTAAACTTTTTCATCATTAATCCCTTCTTTGATAACAAATTAAAGCCTCCTTATTGCTGTGCAAGTTGAATGCTGCTGTCAAATGTCAAGATTTATGTGATATAAAGTATTTTCAAAATCTGGTAACCACCTACTCCTATTTATGAAATCTAGAAGTCAAACTTTTATATATCCTACCATGATAGACTGTTAACCAGTAACAAGGAAAGTATAAACAAGGCGAAAAGCTTAACCACTGCTTTTAGGATAACATTTATGATGAAAACTGTATAATCCTTTTTACAAATAATCCCCTTCCTCAGATCTAGCAGATTCATTGATTTTATTACACCTAATCAAATGGAAGATTCTGGAGGAATCAATTTATTTTACTGAAATCCCTACATCATAAATCAAAATTGAAGACAGTTAGTCAAACCTGAAACTCCTCACAGGTGTATATCAACTGTCTCACATTCAATCGAGTAGAAATGCACACAACAAGTGTAACAATTTGAATTATTACTTATTACTTCTAAACAACGGTGGCAAAGACCAGTAGTAAAGCAACCTTTAAAAAAATTAGGAAAACTTTATCAACTAAAGCATACTTTATCGAATATTTAGAAATAAACACGGTAAGATTGTGAATAGTGAACGACCAAAATGTCATCATAGCATTGATTTAACTTACTGTAAACATTTTGCTGCAGCCGCCTGTTGAACAAATACCGGCAGTGGATGATAGTCTAGCTCTGAATCCGATGACTTATTTGTTTTCTTTTTGTTCTTCTTCTTCTTACCATTTGCACTCATACTAAAACGTTTGGCAGAAGAATCATATGTGTGAGAACTTCTGGTGTCTGACGTCTTCGATTCTGATGGTCTCCCTTTCCTTATTGATGTTTTACCAGTATAACCAGATTTTAATTCGCTTGTACTGCCTGTGATGCTGAGAGAACTTGAGGCTAAGGCGGAAAAACAACAGCTGTTAGTTTGAAAAAGCAAAAATTTAAAAATTAATGGCTCCAGAGAAATCGAGATTTATTCTCAAACAGTGCAATGGATATCATATATATGTATATGATAAATCAATCAGTTACTCAAAATTCCATATGACTACTAGTTATCCTTAGAGCGTTTACAGTGTCGCAATGCTATGTTATGCATATCAAGTATATGCATAAATAATGAATAACACTTTACAGCCAATGATCAAACTTTTCGGATTGTTATCACTCTTACGAAACATGAGTTATGCTTGAAAAACTTATCTTTGTACAAGTTTATTACTATTCAATTGAATATTTGTAGAAATGAATTACAAATAAAATGTAACTGATATGTATCCAAAACCATTAAACCTGATATCTGGAAACCTTTACACATACAATAATTGCCTGGTAAATTATTATTATTATTATTTGTATTGTAATGGTCTAGAGTTATTAATGTGGCTATGTAGTTTTATGTGATAATCTGAATATACGAGTTAAGTAAGCGATGCAGTAACTGGATAGAAAAACGTACAGTTGTGGTACATTGTAATTCAATCTGTATGTGTTTTTCGAAGGTTGGGTACTTTTCACCATTGGGTACAAGCAACTTTACTATATGGTTGTTAGACAGGCCGTTATTTGACTTCTGTAGGACGGAAATGCATACATTTGAATCTATCATTTCGACGGTAACCAATATAACTTACTAATACTAAATGATGGGAATCAACTGATTGACAGTGATATTTTACAATACTCTTCAGACATCTACACAGTGTTTATTCAAGCGCGCTGCTAAATAGATGAATAACTGCACATATTGTTTAATTTCTTCCATGAAAACAATGTCTACACCGTTGAATCAAGTTTTTGATAAGTTTGTTTCTCAGTTAAAAAAAGCTACCATTTTATTGTAAACTCAGTGGAATTAATCATAAGCCTACGTAATTGTTGAGTATTCTGTGTATTTTGCATTAGTGTATTTACTAATACATATAACAAATTATATATATATATATATATATATGTATATATATATATATATGATTTTTACAATTTTATTTCGATTTTAAAAAAGTCACATTAAGAACCCTTCCTCATCTTTTTACTTGCATTACTCACTTAAACTACTAATTTTCTCAAGGCAAGCTCGTAGATTGATGTCAGCTAATGACGAAATTCTCCAACCAATTAAACAAAATGCCTACAAAACCAATACATGAAGGTGACGTTTCACCTAAGTAAAGTTTCATTCCTATAAGCGATAATTCCTTAATGTCTTACTAATCTATTCTCCATCTAAACAAATGCGTCAATAATGGTATTGTATGTGTATTAATCTTAAGCATCAGGTAATAAAAATGAGATAAATCAATAACTCATTGTAACGATATGCTCGAAAATACCATATATATATATATATATATATATATATATAATGAGAAATATTATCAATACGGTATACAACTAAACTTGTATACCTCCAACTTACAGTCACTACCATCACTGTCTGAATGATGCGAAATGAATTCACCATCATCTGATGCTGCTTCAGTAAACAATTTACCCAACTGTATTTCACGTTGTGGTTTCAACAAGGTAATTAACGCCAATAAAATATCATCAGTAATATCAAAATGCATCAGAACACGAATCAGTTCAATAACTAGATATACACAAGATGAGAAAAGAAACAGTGAGATGAAGAATTAGCAATACAAGTCAACTTTTTCCCAGTCAGGAAAATTTGGATTACCGGCTCATACATTTATATGCGTAGTTTTGTTTCGCTAAGATGTCTAATAAATTGAAACCGAATGTACTCACACTTTAAATATTCTAGGGAAATAAAACCACTAACCTGAAGAAAAGCATTAAAAATTCCAACATACTTAGTTTACACTTGAAACTACGCAATACACTTATATACATTATGCCTAGTTCAATTTAAACACACCTAATGCTAAGATAACGGAGTGAAGCAAACAAAAACCAATACATGTATTTAGTGTAGGGTGATGATTACTGAAATTTGAAAAAGATATATAACTGTAGTAGCATAGAATAATCTCCTGCTCAAAGCTGATTAAAATCGCAGAAAAGAAAATTAGTAACGATAATCATAAAATACAAGCTGAGGTAAGGAATAAAGGAGACGGAATGGAATCATACATTCAAGATTTAGGAAAATGAATTATGTAATCGATGCGAAGTACACTGACGAAACAGTGAAATAATTCAAATGGTATTGTGTTCAAGTCGATAGATTTCATGACCCGAACGACAGCATTTTTCGATTAAATTCCTGATGATTGAAATGATGAACTTTGAAAACTGTAATACAATTTTTATATTCATGTGCAGTCGTTATAACAACAGAATCGGACTTTTTATAGGAATGAAGATATTTATCGTGTGACGGTATATACACATTTGGATTATGAGTTCGTCAAACATTTAACACTTCACCAGGTATATATATATATATCTTTCATTTTGATTCCACAATCTTCAATGCACCTTGATGTTTCACCTACGCTCCACATACGTCGATCTAGAAAACAAATATCGTACGACTCATAGCAAAGAGCATAAAAAAATTCATGGCAAGTATATGAGTTGCTTTGACAACTAAACTACTTTATTGGAGTCTTTGGTGGGAAAATATACGTAGTATGAGAGACTATACCTTGTATTACTTGCCTTTATACTGATGCCAAATTGCATTTTGATATGATACATAAAATGACTTATAAAAAAGGGTTATGATTAAATAAAATATTCTACAATAATTATTTAAATAATAACAATAAGAAATTGGACAATTACCGGCTGACTGGACTTCCAAATGTAATGATTCAAGTAAATAGATTATTCGATCAATTAAAGCTCGGTTAGCTGTTGTCCGCTCACCCTAAAAGTAATGAAAACAAACAATAAAGGCTATTACTTGACAATTACTTGGAAAACTATAACAACGATAACATAGTTGGCGAAGAACGTAAAAGACATATATATATATATATATATATATATATATATATGTATATATATATATATATAATTAGGTGGATAGAGGCCATTGGCAGGAAGCCTTGGATCTAGGATTTGTGCTTGTTGCTACTCATCACCAAATGTACCTACAACCTTGAAGGAACTAATGTCTCTCCTGAGATTTGAATATACGTCACTCAATGCTGCAATCAGAGACCACTAACCTACTCTTGCTCATAGCCGACCTCCCGTAGGACCATATTAGATACTTTGACTCAACACTAGATAGGGTAAGTCGCTAGTGTTAAGTGTCTACTCCTTTGTTTGGTGCAGACTGAATTTTATCAGGCAAGTTTGCATTATCGTCACCATGTATATATATATATATATATATATATACATTCTGAGTACACCGTGATGGCGAGCCACCCAACATGGTTCAGCCTGAGACGGCAACTGTTGATAAAAATATGTTGTAGCCCTTTGGAACTACTTCTGGTGACTCACCCGCAAAGCTTCTGATATATAATGAAGCACTGACTGACTTCACATTCATCCTGAAAATCCAAATCTCGTTCTTCACGCTAATTTCAGAAGATTTACACTGTGATTTCAGAGTGATGAAGGTCTGAATCCATTTTCCAATTCTGCCTTTGACATCCTCATCTATCACTCCTCTTGTATTTGGAAATACGATGATAACCAGAAGAGTAAAAGGAGGTAACCTCTTCCAAGTGATTGGTGCTGGCTGTTGTTTCTGTCGGTTGGTTATGTTTATCGCCTCTCTCTTCTCAATGTTCACTTGAAGTCCTGACTTCGCTGCTTCTTTAGTCAGTCTGTCGGTTTTTGCCTGCAACTCCTCGAGTTCTCGTGACATCAAACAAAAATCATCCTCGAAGTTCATATCTTTTACAGTCTTCTTATAAGTTCAGCGTATTCCTGTCTTCTCGCTTTCTGTGCACAGTCTCACGCAGAATACAGTCCACCACAATTAGCAATATTGTCAGTGATAGTAGGAAGATAGTCTAGTCTTACTCCTGTATTTAATTCAAAGGCTTTGCTGAGTTTTCCGTTGCGCATCACCTGACACGTACCATTTTCATATACCTGCGTGCTGAATGAGATTGATCAAGACAGGGGTCACGCCATAGTATTTTAGTAGTTTCCAAGTTACTTCTCGGTCAATGCTGTCAAAGGCCTTTTCGAAGTCGATGTAGTTAAGGTAGAATTTTGATTGCCATTCTATGCATTGTCTGGCGATGATGTTTAGTGTTGCAACTTGATCAGCACATGATCTACCTTTCCTGAATCCAGTTTGCTCCGTGGGGCTAAATTCTGCATCTAGTGCATCTTTTATTCTCTCCAGGATGAAGTGACTTAACATTTTGCTTGGCGTGGACAGTAGCATGAAAACGTGCCAGTTTTTGCAGGGGCGTAAGTTGTCCTTTCTTCGTAGTTTGACAAGGCAGACTTTCTTCCAATCCTCAGGTACTCTGCCTTTCAAACTCTTCACAACAGTAGCGCGAGCACATCCACTGTGGTCTCTGGGTTTGCTTTCAGTGCTTCAAGTGGGATTCCGAAAGGCCCCGCTGCCTTCACGGTTTTTAGTAGTTTCGGCCACTTTCAGAGGATTGGTGCGTGCTGTTGGTGGTATTTGTGGACGAGGTGCAGCTAATGGTCGATTCAAGAGCCCTTTGAAGTGATCAGCCCATTGTCTTATTTGTTTCTCCTCTCTAGTAATTAGGTTCCCTTGAACATATTTTATTGGCTTCATCTGCGTTACTCTCTTACTGGATAGAGACTTTGTTATCTGGTGTAATGTCCTGAGGTCTCTTTTACCTGCGGTCCGCCTGTTCTGTGTCGTAGGTTTGTCTTCTGCTTTTATTAGCACTCTTCTTCATTTTTCATTCAGTGCAGTGGACATTGAACTTAGCTTCTCCTTCTCCTGTTGTTCATCTTTCTATTGAGTCATCTTCTCTTCCACCAGCCTCTTCTCTTCTGTTAGCTTGCAAGTGCCCGTAGAGAGCCATTCCTTGTCTTTCCGCTTCTCTCTTCTTATGACGGTTGTACTCGTTTCCTTAAACATCACTTTCAGTGATTCCGAATGTTTTTCCACACAGATTTCCTCAATCATGCTAAGTAATGTATCCATCGGTGATCTGATGTCTGAAATGAAGACATCCTTTGTAGTTTTGTCTTTTAGTTTCCAAGTTTCGGACTTGAATTGTGGTCTATCTCCAATTGTTTTGAAGGTTTTCAGCTAAACCTTGAAGTTTATTTGCACCAGATAATAGTCTGGGCCGACATCTGCTCTTCTTGTCGATTGTGTGTCCAGCAAGCTGCATCTCCACCTTCCTGATATTGAGATGAAGTCTATCTGGTTTTTGGTGTGTCCATCAGATGAAATCGATGTCGCTTCGTGCTTGTGCACGCTACTTTTAATCCATAAATCCCTGAATTCAAATATGTCTTCGAAGAGTTTATACACACTAAATTAATTATCATATAAACATAATATAGTGAAAATCAAGATTTTTTAAATGCAGGAATATATATATAACATTGGTGTATTGTTCTTTTTTCTGATGAGTAAGATATGTTGAATCCTTCATGAGTCCCAATTAGAGTTTGTCTGGACGAGTAAATATCACTTGAAATTGTGTTCGTGTGCATGTAAATGATAGGAAAACCAAAGGTTGCAGAAATCGGTGTAGTTACCTATTTAAGGCTAAGAACAAATTAATTACTCGAATATTCATGTTCCTCTAATACTTCCCCGAAGTCCATATTAGTCTCTTAGAATAATTCGACTCAGTTATCTAGAACAAGTTGTAAAACTATGAACTACAAGAAATGTTTGCTTTCTAAAAGAAGTCATTGTCATAAACTGTCAGAGAATGATGAAAAAATAGAAGTTTTATTATGACAGTCAAAGGTCAGTGTGACCATAAGAACAATACTCACTCGGTGGCCCTCAAGTCAAGAAGAACCCTGCAATCTAAATAAGTGTTTAAATTGTTTCATGAGTATTAAAGTAATTCAATAGAGCGTCAAACACTTCGATACGGCTAGAACAGCAGTATACTTTGAATTTAATTGCACGCATACTATAAAGTTAAACTATTTTGTCCTTCAATTCCTGTTTCGAATGGTTTTATTAAATGAACAAATTAGGACAGTATGAATTCAGTTACCTAAAAGTGTAACAAAAGTAACTTTTGAGTGTCATATAAAGTTTACCTAGACACTAAAAATATAAGGAAAGTGGTCAGTCATTAGCGGCTGACCTAGTTGTTCCCCTTTTCAAAACGTTTCTCATTGAAAATGGTATAACTCTAGGAAAACTGTATAATCTGTGAGCTTTTCTTTTATTAAGCTCAAAAAATTCATATCACTCTTCAACTTCTGAAAAATTCCTGTCTTTATCTACTTTTCAACTCTGTTACCTTTCTAGAAGACACATAACCAATCATTTTCTAGTTAGATAATTTAATAAAGTTACCTTTTAACTACAAGCATTCCACGTGACTAACATCTAAAACCACTCCTCAGAAGTTATGCTACCTCATCAACTATAAGAAGGGGAAATACTCGCTATACAGCTTACTGTTGAGATTATTTTGCGTGATAAAAAAAGATAGACACTTTTTTAGTAGAAGTTGAACATTAATTTTTTTTACCCATCACTCTTACTTAATTGAAATAAATAAATGGATGTTAACGAACAAATAAGCGTGTCGATCAGTTGAATGAAGCTGGCGCTGAAGAAGCTGCCAAGTCTGGTGACGAAACATCAGCAGCCTTAACATTGAATAATTATCCTGATAAATTGATCAGGAGGTATATAGATTATGGGAATACAGATAAAACACCCGATAAAGGAGACATAAATATTAAATGTATACATAAAGATGACAACGTTAAGGACAGGGAATTTCGACCATCCGTAAAGAAGGAATCTCGGACACTTTGCATTGCATTCCTTATCGAGGTATCAATAAGAGTGGCATTCAAACTCACAAATTAGTTTGAAACTGGATATTAGGTGAAACGATCTTGTGTAAACTACTAAACAAAACAATTTAGTCTGTCGAATGCCATGCAACAATTACGTCCTCATTCTTATTCTTGCTTTCACTGAGAGGAGACATATTGGCTGACTGCCTTCCCGAAAGCTTTCAACAGCCTGCTGCGTCATTTTGCCCCTCCAAACGCAACGAAAAATACGTTAGTTTCTTATATTTTTTGTTTTTAATGCTTTTCTTGTGAGTTGATGTTTCTGTTGCAGTCTGATTAGCTTTCTGTGAGTAGGGTCTCTAGCCCGACTATCAACCCTTCCTCTTCATCCGGTCATAGGACCAGCTGGAGAACTAGCAACCTAGTAAACCAGACGAAGTTAGAAAAAAAGGCGAATTATAAATTTCGAATTTGAAAGTTGTAAAGTTACAGTTGACAGGACAATGAAAATTGTATTAGATACGTTATTCAGTAAATAATACTGTTTCCCTGTGATGTATCTACAACAACGTCAAAGTTTTAACCATACACAAATTAATTAAATTTGCAACGATCGAATACAGCACAAAACGATAACAGAAATAGAAATGACACCACAGTAGATAAGCAGGAGTTCTCAAGAACATTCTTAAATGAGTATTAGTGAAAGTATTTAGAATTTTGGCGATTGTGAGGATGAAGTACACCAGTGTCATTGTTAACGACTGTGAACTATACCACCAAGAGACTCTAGATATCGATTTTTAACAAATCGAAGATGCCTAAACACACGAACTGCATATCGCTAAAGAATTTACACTTACAACCAAAGACGCATTACCATCAGTGACTAGAAGATAAGTCTCGCGTCCTGATTAAACTTACCTCTTTTTGAACCTTCTGCTTATTCAGACAGAACTACTAACCGAAGAAGATAGTAACTAGATATGCGCAACACATATCTAAATCACCACGTCAGGTGATGTACAACCTCTCCCACTAATTTATCTTTCTTACCCATCTGTATTTCCAAAACTCATGAGTAAAATCAGGAAGACAACTATGATCAAAAACCTGCAATCCACTTTCGTGTTATCTTCGACAATTGCATATCAAAAGCACACATTAGGTCTTAGCAAACTGCTGCGCTACAGATTCGGTCTATAATATATAACAATAGAATATGGACAGTGTGGTAGAACATAATTCCATAATAGATAAGTTGATCTAATATAAGACACAGTGACTCTGCCTAATTAACTGAATGACACTTGGAGCACAATGTATTGCTCATAATCATATTAATGTATTCACACAACTTAATAACTTACTTTACATACTCTTACTCCTTTATGTTTTGTAATTTTCTATATATATCCGATATATACACTGTGTCCTTTAATCGGCAGTTGCAACCACAGATGAACGTTGATATTTCAATTCAGTTAGTTTGGTTTTGTCCCATTTTACTTTCCAAATAATTGAAGAGTGGCCAACAGCTTGAAAGATTTCAGTTCCTACCGTTTAATTAGGAAGTAGGGCGGCCCAGTACTTCACCAACTTACATATGAGAGGTGGACAATACATTCTAAACCTACTCTAGTTCTTGTCGAAGGCGTCCTCCGTATCCTGCAACTGTCAGCGACTCATCGTAATCCAAGTACACTTATATACTCTAAGTTACAAGTACCCTCTACCAATGTATCCATGATAAAATTAAAGTGATAAGAGTGGGTATTTTCGACAATGGCCTCGGTTATTTTGTACGATGATTCTCCGTGATTTCTTATCCAACTATGTGAGGTTATTCACTACTTTATTTACTTTTGTAATCTGCTACAATCAATAAGTCTTCCCTAGTAATCATATAAGCAGCATTAAGTCAAAGAATTATATCATTTGAAAATAGATTACAGCTATATGGCACTACTGCTATTACTACTACTACTACTACAATGCAGTACACTGATGGTGCTAAATATACAAAAATTAATTTATTTGAATTGAACTGAACTTCACCTGTAAAACTCGTATACTTTGGAGAGCTAATTGTTGAGCCTTGGGAGAGTTGCACGGCAAAACACCAATTAACCCTTTGTAAACTTGGTCAGAGAAACGTGGGTTGCCTTCAGCTAATATCTCCAGCAAATCTCTAGCAGCCTCTTGTGTTTCCTCTGATTTTGATTTAGCCATACATTCAGCAACAGCACGGATACCTAGAAAAGGTATTAAAGTAAATCTGTATTTGGAATACGTGAATTGTTTTTATTTACTGTTGAATATCAGAATATCATATGATCAAAAAGGACAGTTAACTATACAGTGCACTCAGATTTCAAACGTATATACAGTCTAAATTAATTACATGCTTTTCATCGAGATACTGGTTTGCATTATGAACCAGGCAACTATTGTCTTGATCGGTTTTACACGAGAATTAAATATGAATTAACTGATATATATCTCTAGCTTTCATAATGAAAAACAAAAAGTTAAGACAGTTATGAATGTGGTTGTACAATCCGTGAATCAGTGTGGTGGTTAATCAGCAGAGATGTTCTAGATCCCAGATATTCCATAGTAGTAATATATATATATTTACTCTTCGTAATTCTGTTATGAAATACTAGGTCCACCCTTAAGTCACTTAAATCTGTGGGTTACCAATACAGGTTGGAAGTACTGCAAGTTAATTTAAGTAAAATTAACAGAGAATCTAATGGAAGCGTAATCACTGTCTTCTGTTAATCAGCTAGAAAGCATATGATCATGAGAATTTCTTTACAAATCATCACATGCTTTACTCAGTTAGAAAGAATACACTGTCACTTTCTTCACATTTTTTCCACGCACACAAAAAGAACAGAGACTCCAAATAATATTCCTTTCGGGAGAGAGAAAATAAACTATTAACCAACTTTTCTGAGAACAACAGATAAATAAACACCAATGCAGAAAAATATATCCAACAGTAGGATGAGATAGGAGTGGAAAGGAAGGATACTCAAAGTTTTATGTACCTACAGATTAGAAGAATTATGTATAACACTAAGCGAAAAACGCATCTTAACGAATAACATAAACAGCTTCAAATAAATGAGGACAAACAGAGAAAACAAAAACAACAATGGAAAAATTACATAAAACACAACTAGGGATAAAAACAAAACAAAAGCCAATTTACCATAACATTCACATATTGTCTCTTTATAATGTGTACCAGCACTGGCTACGCAAGATAGAACTTTAAGCGCCCAAAGTTTATCCACTTCTTTACCACTTGATGAAATACATAATTCTTGTAAACACAGTACACCCCCATGCTCCAGAAACTCAAGTAAGTAATTGTGACTTTTTTCAGAGGAAAATATCGAAAACAAAACAGATAATTCAAGTTGGTAATTTGCAGGATTCGATCAGTTTGTGATTAGTCTTTATAATAAACTGAAGTCAATTGAACAAACAATCTAAAAGAAGGGAGGTTTGGTAAACAGCTGTTATATTCTAAACTGTTACGCTTCAATGTGTCTAATAAAATCAAACTAAGAAAATTAAAACAGTAGAGATACACATAGAAATCACAGGTTAGATACAAATGAAAGGAAGACGATATTTGCATCCTTTTTCTCTTAAGAATAGTATCAGACAGTAATAAAAACTGTAACACACAAAATAAAAAACAACCATCCCTGGTACTTTAGCTAAGGGGATTTTTCATAAAATTATACGCCTGTAAAGCTGATATGGTGTCTTTCACTCAAAATTATGCGTGTAAAATGGTCTTTAAAACACTGAATGAAAAGTCGAGTACTTTTGGAATATACTTCGAACCTGACTAATGCAACACGATACTACAGTGATTAGTCTTTATTCATAGTATAAGAATAAGGAGTGAAATGATTTTGAAATTACACAAACCCTAATGAACTAGTGCCTAAAGTGATCGTAGCTCAGATACAAACGGTTTGTGACGCCATATTTTCGTCACAGGTATGATATCCTGCTACCAAACATGTCCTTTACAACAGTTCTCACAGTTCTACTTTATGACTATTAGATGACAGTTGAAACTAGATATGAAAAAACGAAGCTTGTCACCATTCGACTGCTCGTGTTGGGTGCAACAATAAGCTAAATAAAATAGTCGGACGAACTTAGACAGTAAATCTGATTGACAGAGTTGACTACGAAGTATGTTACCTATAAAACTACTTTCAAAGACGGCCAATGTTAGATGAGGTTGGGAATAGACAATGAAAGAGTTTAACTGTACTTATTAGGTTAGATAATCAGAATACATTATGTCATCTGTTTGCAAATATTTGATGGCAGTTACAATTTCTTTTACAACTGGTTGAGTTATATCAAGCTGGTTGATATATTCATCTTAAAAATAGAACTATGGGTTCAATCTCTGGACCACCAATCACAGTTTACATTCTCCTCAAAAATATTGCGTTACCCACGAGAGATATTTATCGCCTGGGAGTTGTAAATATACCGTGTTGATGAGTGCCGCAATCGGGAAACGTCATGTGCAGAGCTTCTTTCCGATTGCCTCCAGTCAACCAAAAAAACCCATTATAATACGATAGATCACTAAGTTATAAAAAGTGAAATACGTGGAATAATCAGCAATGCTCACCTGCTTGATGCTGATAAGAATATGTGGAGAGCTTGTAGTTGTTCAGTCAAACAAGTTCCTGACATGTATCTGAAATACAAACACTGAGAATAGGAAAATCACTGGAAAAATTAGATGAACAATACTAATCACCTGGAGTTTTAGATTAGAATTGTCTTTCGATGCATCCACAGATAAATCACTAAAATACCTTTCGATCAGTTAACATAAAATGTATTTAAAGTGTAAGATGTCTACGAAATCCAGGATGATTTTATCTCTTATAACACAAAATACATTACAAAACAGCTCATGAGAGAAGTGTTACTTGTTAATATAACACGTAAAGCGGGAGTAATAAGCTGTATGAAATCGTAGTTTCGTGAGAAGTGAAAAAAGTCGCAGGCTTCTGTTTTAAAAACTACCATAACCTAGCTTCTCTTCTGCCTCTAATCACTGTCACATCGAAATCAGCCAAAGCTATATGTGACAGCCTAATTGGCAATATATATCTATATATACGTTCGAAATAATCACACCTCTGAAAACACCAAAAAAGAGGGTGAACGTGTCTATAGTGAACGCTAAACAATTGGAACAAACAGTGAATGGATTGAAGTGAATGGATGAAGTAATTAATAATAGAGACTTCGACATTTACTGGAAGAAAAATACAACGAACCAATGACGAAACACTTGTCTTGAATTCTATTATAGCAAATAAATGATATAGAAATATAATTGTAGGGAATAAAATGAGAAATCTAGAGGTCTTTTGGTCCGGTATTCTGCCAGCTGTAGAACTAGAAGTAGTACAATATAAATATACTTATATGTGAGTAGACGAAAATAAAATGGCTGGCGAACTGAAATCCATGATATCTAATTATCAATCAAGATCACAAATATTTTTTAATTGCTTTTCTATAAGCTTCGTCGGTCTGACAAGTTGACGGAGAATTTCGCACATTAGCATACGGTTGGAGAATGACTCATGATTATAATATGAATTGAAATGTACGATGACAGTGAGCTGCAAAACCTATTGGTAAGAAAATAATAGGCTTTAAAGATAACACAAATCTGTAAACAGCTTCCACGGCCGATTACAGACAAGAGCAGCAGGTAACTGAATAACTGTACGACAGATTATTTCATTATGTAATAAAAATATTTTCAACTAATTTTATAAATGTAACATGAAGACATACGTTAATTTTATCCAAACACATATTCTAGCCAAGAATAAACTAGCCATTTGAGCAAGTTCTGTTTCTAAATCAGGTCCAGAGCAATTACGATATTGTCTTATGAAATCCTGCAAAAACTGCCGACGTTTTTCTTTTGGTGCACAATCCCATTCACGTAATAAACAAGTCATATTGTAAGTGGCACTGTCCTGTTTAGCAGAAGCCATTAATAGTACGCTGTATGTATATATATAAAAAGAGATAATCCATGTTTTACAATGTAAATAGGATTTAAACATTTACATTTACTTAATCAAACCCAAGAGAATTGCTCAATGAAAAAATAGGAAGTATTCCACATAAAATTAAGTGACGAATTCGAAAGTCTGAGCAAAAATAAGACACTAATGGTGGCAGCGATAGTATTAGTAAGTGAAACAGTCTAAATATAAGTGGAACCAGAAGCTATTTCATGTTAGTTTTTTATCTCTAGACTACTTAGAAAATAGGAAATCATAGCAGATGACTACCAATCTTTTCACGACTACAAAAATATATCTTTAACTGGTCTTATAAATGCTGGTTAATAATGTATACATTTCCTAAACAAACACAGACATTTTAAAGCGACTTTGAACGTCTAGAAAAGTTTTAGTTGGAATAAGTACTATCAGCACCCTACATTTAGAGTATACAAATCGGCAGAAAATGAGTTGTAAGTAGAAAACTACTAAACTAAGAAAATAATATGCACTGTTACTGAGTCATATGCACCTAGTAAACAAGTATTGGGCAGAAAATTTCATCAGTTGAGACTTGTTTTATATTCCAAAACGAAAAGATTGATGAGCTACCACTGATGAGTTTACTGGAATAAATGGGACATATAGTTCACATAATTGTTGAATAACTTTAAAAACTCTAATAAAGCAAACTAACTACTTATATCGCAAGTAAAACAGTAAAATACTTATTAAAACATTGTAATCGTAGAAAGCCGGTTCGATTCCCAGACAAGCTGAGTTCACAAGATCATAATAGATACTTACAGACATCACACCGTACAACAATTTAAATATTCCGTTCCTGGGACTTCAATGAAACCAAACAACACCAGACTAAAGAGAAGTGGGAATAACATTCATCAGGTATTTGTTCACTTCTACACGATTTTAACGTCCAAAGTTAGTTACCAAAGCAGTTTCTAGTTACCATATGAGGTTGCAGATGCAAACTCATTTTATTTACGTTAATTTAGATAAGCAGTTAGTCATCAATGCATGATCCACAAGTGTTCAGTGTTATTTTATTTTGTCCAAGACCATCAAAACCAAAAGGTTTTATCAGTAATTCATGAAAACAGACGTAGACTGCCAACATGAAACTTGACCCTAATATCTAAGTCACCACCACAGAGTAGAATTTAACAGGAAATTGTGATTAGAAATAATCAAAAGTGACGATTAAACAATAAGAGATAAAGGAAATGAGTGTAAGGTATAAATAAATCTGCAGCGAAACCAAGGACTCTGTGCCATATCACCTGCAATTTTCTAACGTCACTAGTAATTTCTTTGTGGTTCTCTGCAAAGCTTAAGGCAAACCATGGCATCCGTTAGGTATATAAACAACGAAATTTCTAAACATACACTGAAATCGTTCATTCCAAGATGACTGAAATGTTACAGACTGCTCTTGAGTATATTCAGTGTGAAGTATTCTTTCCTCTCCTGGTCGGGCCTTATGTATAAAATCTAGAACAGACCTGAAAGATCACATTTATCCAGGCTATTTAATATATATGGGACTTTACGTGAAAACTGTTTATCATATAGTATTACCTGATAAGAAGGACTACTCGGGTAAATCATTAAGTAAAATCCTGAAGTTTTTTCATATTTTAGACTCCTAGACACTGTACTATACACCTTTAGCTACCATAACTAACAGTTATACATAAGCAGAGCATAGTGCACACATTCTCTGACGTATAGGTGGATATCACACCTGTGAGAAGGATAACACCAGTTGGCCAATGCCTAACAAAACTTTTGTATCTGCCCTAAAATTTTGTCAATCATCAGTCTATTAGAGTTGATGCAACTCCCCGAATAATCGAAGCGGTTAGCACATTAAACTGTTCGCTCACTATTTCTAAACCAGTAGTCATTCAAATTTATCTTCCAGTACCAACTGTCACTTCACAGGTATGCATCGTACGTGTGTTGAGAAGAAAGTGTTTTCATCTGAAAGAACTATGTCATTAACATACTTTAGATTAAGGGGATTATTCCCTACTAACGAATGAATCCCTGAGATGAGCAAATAAGTCAGGATTGCCTAGATCAGTACTTCTGTAAGAACTGTGACGGAGCAAACGTGAAGGACATCACTGGTTGTCTTCACTTCAGATAACAACTCCTCGTTTGCCCTTCGAGTGAGTCAAAATAATATCCTTGGTGGACACTGAATTTCTAGTCAGACATTATTATGGAAACTTTGGACCAGTGTAGTTAAATGTCTCTTTCAGGTTTAGAGATATAATCACTAGGTGATTATGTTCCAGAACCTGTCGAAGTGTGAAAACTTAATGTCGTTCGATCCAGAAACCTGTCTGATTTATTGGTGTTTGTTTTTCCTGAGTCTCGCTTAGGCTTTGCAGAACTGTGGAACCTGCTTCTTTGATAGTATGTTAGTCAAGCTTATTATTATTGTATCCTTTAATTCCTACAGGAACATAGGGCTTCAGCCGTGCGTCTCCATTGCGTTCTGTTCTCTGCTAGAGTCTTCATCTGGCTCCAAGTTTGCCCACACGTTTTCATCTCCTCTTCACATGACCTCCTCCAAGTCACCTTTGGACGACCAACTCGCCGCTTCCCTTTTGGGTTCCACTCAAGGGCTTGTCTAGTGTCAAGCTTATCCCCCCTGTTATTATCAAAGATAGGCCTATTTCCTTTCTTATAAGCAAGGATAATCATAATCTAGACCAGGCTGCTGGAATCCTTAATTTGTCTGGCAAATAACTGATCACCGTTCTCAAGCACATCTGGAACCACACTATTAGGACCTACCATTTTTCGTCGTTCTAGATCGGAGATAGCTTTTATCATCTCATTTACAGTTGGAGGAATAAAAGATGAATGGAGAGTAACTATAGTCAATCTGTGAGCAAGTTGAACTATTCGCTGGAATTTTCCGTTCATTTGTAATCAATATCAGAACCAGTCGCAAAAGATCTCAACAGAAATACACAAATATTCATCAACACGTATTATACATTTTGCCACAAAAATGAGAACCATGAAATTAAATTCCATAGGATGTCTCGAGACAAAGTTGCAAACAGAAACCAAACAAAGTAATACATCACGAGTGAAATAAACACAAAATATAAGTGCTGCTTCTTTTGTCCTCAAACAGTAGATTTTAACAAATCAAAACCCTACAAAAAAAACATGACTTCTCATGTCAGTAAAACCAAGAATCACTTATTTCATGAATCGATACTGCATTCACCTATTCGTCCTCAAGTTTCTTCGAAGCCTATCATTCTTTCGCCAATCTATGTACTTATACAATATTGAATTTCTTGCATTTGATAATCAAACACCGATAGCCTCTCGACTTTTTACACCTTCGAAGAATATAAAGCTTTTATCCAATAGGCTGCTTATAGCTCAGTTGAAACAGAAATGACAGAAGTTGGTATATGACACAAGACACTTTTAAGATACCGCCTACCAAATCATAGCTAGTTACATTATTTAATAAGTTGATCAGATGATATACTAAGACATCGTATTTACTGTTCTTAGAATAGAATATGTTATGAGTTATCTCTGAGTCCAAAGAAACTCCACAGACGCTAAAAATGTGCGTGACCTATAGCTAATTTTGCGAATATCAAGCATACACAAGATAAGCATCAGTTCCCAACCCATTTAGTTTATTCATAACTAAAGGGAGTAACTGATCAATATAAAGTAACATAATATCAGCCTAAATAAATGAACATATGGATGAATTAAGATGAGTTACAATCAATTGGTGTAATAAGTCAGAATAAGAGATTATTAAATTTTGCTGTCGTCTTAGGATCTCGGGTTTTTATAGTCAACATTAATCTTAGGAGCTCGATTAAGGTCTCAAATCTTGAAATTTATTTTGACCAGCAGATAGCAGTGTTTCCTGGAGAACCTGTCGTGTATAACAAACTTCAATAAGGAAGCACTAAGTTGCGTCTACAAATAACAAGATACCTATAGATTTTAACAGATTTTAATGGACTTTTCGACAAAGTACATCACACGAGACCATATACTGTGAAGAACTAGTACTTCTGTGGGGTCACTAACTGTTAGAACCGATTCGTTCGGAAAATTATTAGGCAACACAAATAGTTATTCGAAGAGGATCAAGACAGAATTGAGGCCTTTTGTTGCCAACCAAAAATCTCAATCTGACTCTTTAAAGTTGGTTGAAGGATTATGAAATAGCTCTCAGTAAGACGCCAGCCTTTGCAGAATGACAAATAACTGGTAATAGCTCCTAGGAAAATTGCAAATTCGTGACTACTACATGAGTAACTTTAATTCATGTTAAAATAAGCATCCATTAGCTTAATAATATTAAATATTCTGTTTACAAGCTACCATAAACTATATTGATTACTTTAAGCTCGCTTTCTAGTTGTATATTAAAGGTTTCTGATCCTCAGTTGTCCGAGTTACTAGCATCTTACACACACCACTGCCTTAACAATCTAAGAAACATGTAACAAGTACTCTGTTGAAAGAAATAATAAAATTTGCATTCTTTTGAAATGAATGTTGAAGAAATCTGTTAAGAATGCTGACACTTAGTATGCGACCCCATAACCAATAAATATTTATGATTTAGGAAGAAAACAGAGACAAGAAGCCACAATATTATTGACTCTGGAGTCAATCGTTTTTAGGGATGACTCGCAACTCACCCTATAACTACTGACAAAAAACATATGTGTTCACTAAAAAAACTTAATACCCAATTGATGTTTTATAGCTCCTGAATGACTTAGATTTCGAAAGCAAAGAAATGTTAGCCTAATGATACCCATGTGAACTGCATAAGTAATAAAAGATACAAAAAATGAAGGCACTGCGGAACCAAAGGATATTTACGTAAAAAAACCTACCGAAGACACGAATCAAAGACCCGCAAAAGTTCACATGGCAACCCTTAAAGTATTCGTGATGTATTTAAACAACAATCTATTGAGATTTGAAGAGCTCCGTTTCATCATTAAATTTCATCCAGAAGCATTTTTTTAGAGACATATTGGGGACTGCTGTATCTTTTCTCCATGGGTAACAGTTATATCTGCAGAATGTCAAAATTGGAAGTCATGTTTGTCATACTCCTTCACAGTAACCTTCTTATCCACAATACTGACAGGCCCTGTGAATCCTACAACCAACTTTGAGTTTTATCAACAGAAAGAAAAAACACAATTCTCGCTATTCTGATCACAACATTATCCTGTAATTTGCTTCCATATAGCACTCTTTAATTAAATCGAGGCAACAAACAACGACCACTTTCTGTATTTTTCTGCCAGATTGTCAGACCATCAATAAATATCTCCAACCTAACTGTTTGCTTGGACTGATATATGTCAGAAGACTCAGATATGTCTCAGGTAGGCCATGGAGAATATCGTAACGTATAGCTTTGCGAATTCTCATTATTAACTTTTCGACATGAGAATACTAAAGCTGAAAACTTATGTTAGTCATAGCGTGCCAGAAAAATAATAGAAGTCAAACCTCCAACTCCTTCCCTATACTTTAATAAGTTGTGGCGGTGTTATGTATCAGATAATCTTCAAATGCCTGCAGAAAAAATGAGTATATCGGCTATCCAGACAACTGAAGTCGGGTTTTCTACACTGGTTTAATTATGAATTCGAAACTAGCTGTCGGGAGCAAATTACTATTAATGTACTCTTATTTCTTATTAAATGTTCTCGTTATAGTCCTCCCTTTAACAGAATGATATGACAAGAAAAAAAGATGCAGTATTGCACTACTTGCTGGAATCTCTATGCTGTACTGATGATATTCTTCCATGTAAATCTGTGAATATTGCCATCATTATAACGAAACCGTAAAGAAAGCCAAGTGAAGAAAAAGTGTGTCACGAAAGTCATCACACATCCCTTCGTAATCCCGTTAATTTTTTTGCATCTTTCAAACCGATAGAATCGGTGGTATTGTGTTTGATAATAACAGCAATACTTCAGAAAATCATTTCAGTCAGAAAGGAAATTTTCGTGCACAGAAAAAGTATAGTGATAGGCATTTTTATTGACATCTCTGGCGTAAAACGACACAACACAGTGAGGACATTTGGAAAGTCAACATATTTGTCTTCTCTCCATGATAGCAAAATAACCGCAGGAACACGGAAACATCAACTGAATCCACCACAACAGGGCGAAATACATTATGCAGCACCATCGATGTAACCCTAGTTCAGAGACGAAGTAGCCCCATGAAACTAGTTTTGGCGGCAGGAAGTAAGGACAGGCAACGCAAGTAAGATCTGGCCACTGGACAGGTATCAATGAAGAGGGCCCTTGGATCAACCTCTGTATTCGGTGAGCTTTTTGCAAAGGTTATCAGTATTATTCAGTTGTGTCCTACATAGATAGGAATAAATATATATTATTATTAGTTGCGACGGACACTGAACATGAAGCGAATGAAGCACAAGATATAATGGACAGACACCTCTGAAATGGTGTAATCATAATCAGGTAAAGCATTGTCATCACAGTCATCAGAAGAGTTTCAACAACGGTTCTCCTATTAGATTTTTACTTCTCGTTATTTTTGTGTTATGATCACCATGATCCCCATAGGGGGGAGTGAACCGTACGAGTAAATCATTCCCCAGAATTGTCAACCCATAGAATTCATGACCAAATATTGGAAGCTGATCTTCGCCGTTTAAATTGACTGTTTAAGCTAGAAGCTCATTGTTAAGCTTTAATTTCATCTGATATACCACCGTGTTAAGTTCATTTGATCGTGCACAACCCCTAAACGGTTTAGTAGATGCTATCGCTCTACGATTTGGATCCTGAAATATACCTCAAATTTTAAACAATCAGATAATAAATCTACTGAAGAAGCTTTGGCTCACGCAGCGAAACGTTCAGAAAAATCCTAATCAGATTTCTGGTTTAGCATTTCCTCCGGGGTAAGTAGAACAAATACTATTGGAGTTGGAAGATAAGGGTGTGAGATTTTATGCATCATAACTTGAGCAAACGTCAACATCCTTTTTTTTCGTAAACACTAAACGTCAGAATTGTCTAGGTGTAGGTGAGTTCCTTGGAAGAAGCCGTATGATTGACAAGCAGGATTGTAACCAGATCAGTGCTTCTTTCAGGTGACTAACTGTCTAATTGTGCGTCGGTGGCACAGGGGTTAGGACTCCCGCTGACCATGCACATGGTCCGGGGTTCAAAAACCCTCCAGACGCACATCTGAAATCGACGGATGGCGTGCAAAATTTGCGCTACCGATATTACATGCTGCAAATTCCAAACTTGCACCAAAAAGTACTTTTTCGATCAAGCTTTAATCAAAAATCAAAAAATATTTTCTTCCTCAGGAGAGAGTTTCGAAAAGACTGATCCGAGAAACTGTACATCGACACTCACTTAAGTATGTTTCATTGCCCATATTAATATCTTGATACATACGCAATACCGAAAACATAGTCCAAATCGCTTCTCCTCTGAATATTGATGTCATGCAGCCTTAACAACGAATATTTTCTCAGTAAACCTTAACAGTTTGAGCAGTCGGGAAGTGATAACACCACATAAACTTCCCTAAGGACTCAATGCTGTTCTGATGATCAAAATTTGAAATTTAGATTTCAATAAAATTCGCTGAAGATAATCTATACTGGGGAAAAGTTGCGGAACCTATTAGAATGACTTTACTCCACTAGAACCCAAACTGCTGGGCAAGTGCTTACCGTGAGCAGTCATCAAAAGTTTTGACGAACAGTGATGCCTACTGTTTTCATTTTGACTGATTTATAGTGAATGCACTTACAGGTTGGACCTCAATTGACTGTAGACTCCTAAGGACTTATTTGATAGCAGAGGACAGTTTCATCGATTCAAAGTGAGCGTGTGATGTTATCCTAATGTAGGGGTGCAACGAAAGCGCAATGAAGTGAACTGTAAAAACTAAGTTGTATGATTTCTGATTGCAAGAAAAGGTTACGCAAGTTCTAACCGCGTGAAAAAACATAAGTGCGTCCAGGATGGGAGACTTGCCCTGTTGACGAGTGCCGACAGGCTCCAAATCCGGGTTCACGAATTTCCGCTAAGTGCCTAAAACCATTAACGCCGGTGATTTAGGTGAAGACGCTGCAAAGCACTGAAAATTCTGATAAGTTTTAGTGGAAATCTCGGAAGGTTAGGCAGGCGACCTACCTGCCACAAGCACTGGTTAACACCAACATTCAGTGTAAAGATAGTGGTTAAAGGGTTGATAAATTCAATTGTTCTGGTAGTTGCATAAATGGTAGGATATGTCAACATATTAATTTCTATATATGTAAAGAACTGATATCCGTAAATATCACAGCAACAATAAAAAAGGCTAATGTAATATTACCTATTTTGCGTCATGTCGGGCGCAGACGGATACAGAAGGCTCGTTCAGCATACGCCTGCCAACTTACGCCATCTCCGGTGTCAATGCGACATCCGGCCAGCTGTCGATCAAAGGGCGTGGGTACTGCTCACCAGTCAGTTCGCTCCGTCCTCCTTCTTTTGTGCCTCTGAGACATGGCCACTGAAAGTGGAAGACATGAAATGCCTGACTGACTGGCTGCCTCGCTGGCTGTCCTGCATCATAGGTGTCTGAGTTCTATCTCCCGTCTTAGATGGTAGTATAACACGGTGAGTAATATTCAGGTTAGGCATCCGTCGAGTGCTAGGTAAGCAGTGAGAATCAATCGACGACGCTATGAAGTTACATGGATTGAGATGGTTAGAACACGTGTTACGCATGCACGCCTAGATATCGATAACCCTTGTTGATCGATCGGCGATGTTAGCTAGCTGACATAGGATGGATAAGGTTGGAAAAGAGCTAGTGGTGGTCAAACCGAAACATGGCTTCATCAGTCAATCAAATCCACAACAGTTAGTTTAAGGCAGTCAGTCAGCCAGCCAACCAGTCACATAGGGAGGTGTAGACTTCCTGACTGGTTGTGGTCATCAGGATGGGAAAACCAGTGGTTGTAGACAGTTGGTGATGTGGCTCAAAGTAGTTGTCAATGCATAGCGCTGATGCATTCACTCTTTGTGATTTATCCTATCCAGTAAAATTCTATTGTTCTTCGGGCGTTGATAAGGCATATCCCCTGTTTGAAGTTGCGCCTCCAGCTTTACCTCGAGGATATTTGCGCGGTCTAGTTGATTTCAGTTTGGCTGATTTGTTTCGTTTGATCTAGGTAGCTGCATCTGACGTGATTCTTGTTTCTGTTTGGCTTGAACTGTATTGATTTTGTTAAGAATAGTCGTCAAAAGCTGCCTCTAGGCCTGAAGGCAGTTATGGTGCAGGAGGATGCTTGAGAATGTGTTTCATATGAAAATTATAGGGTGCACCTAAAATCCTCCCGTTTGTGGCGTCTCAATGATTTCTGTAGAGCTTCGTTTCATCACTTGTGTTCATATTTGTCGTTCACAAGTGTTTCAGTAAATGTTTGTGGCTATAATCAGTAACTTTCCAAAACGGTAATTGTGGTAAGGAAATTGTATTTTTTCCGCTATAGTTTCCAAGTCAATGTCTCTTTCAAGTTGCTTATTGTACTCTGTTGGCTATTCGTGAATTTTTAATTCAAAAGCTTCTGTTTTCATTTACAGTGGTACCGAATGAACGCATTGGCAGCTGGAGAGAATGACAACCAACCTGCCCTTCCTATATCAGTGGATATCAAAAAATCTTTTGACGGAATTATGTTTAGTCACCGGTATACCAGTTGAGTTCAAGTAGAAGATGCTCTAAGTCAGCTAGAATCAGTACGATATATATATGTATGCCAGAGTATTCCTAGGCAACTCATACACATTATGTGATCAAAAAGTGCATACGGGACCATGAATCTCAGGATTTGAAGTACAAATTAGTAGTCTTTCGTTGTACATATGGCATGAAGCGAAAAACTAGAGGTTCAGGTTTACGCGTCAAACCGTAAGAATTCTATTATTTATTTCTGCAGTGCAAAATACACCGGTTGCCAATCTGGCTTTCGTATACGCTACAAGGAAGACGAGTTTATCATTTCTTCCGCGAAAACAGTTCACAATCACAGATGTGAAAAAAGTCTTATGATAGGTGATCCATATTTTAGACGCCTGTCCGGGGATGAAAAGGAGAATATTGCACCAGTTGTGAAGACTACATCTGAGGTTGCTGATGTTTTGGAATATGCTGAAGAGAATTTTAATAAAATTTTGACGAGCACAGATGTGTATAATTTACGTAAGGATGTGAAACCAGGTAATTGAAGTAGTTTAAAGTTATTTTTGAAGCCATGCCTTTGAGATCAGATGTTATGCGCATAATAAGGCAAAGCGGTCAGGTGGTTGAATACATGGATTCGAATACGGGGATAACCAGCAGAATTTGCTTCGCCCTGGAATCACAGGTTCAGTTATATCGGAAATATGGAGAGGTGGTGTGTATTGACTCAACATACAATACCAATAAGGACGGGTAGGTTATACGTGAAACGGTTGACAAATCTTAATTAGATATTCTCTGTTTCAGTTGGTGGTAACAGACAATATGGGTCATGGCAGGCCTGTTTTTTGGCATGGACGAGACGAGAGAGGTCATGCGATGTAGCTTGCATATTAGAACAATACCAAAGAATAATGCAGGATACGTCCATTACAGAAACTTTCGTGATGGATTCGGCCAACTGTGAGATATCCGCCGTGCGTAATAGTCAAATTCAGGCGAAAATCGTCATCTGTGCATTTCATGTATGCCGGGCTTTCGGCAGGAAGGTGAGGTGAATGTAATTAATACTTGATGCATTTAGACTCGAAATCCTTTTGTACGCAGGTTTTTATGTCGTCTTGTTAAAGCTGCTACACCTGAAAGGTAAATGCATTGATTTCTAACCGTTTAGATTTCATCACTACCTTAGTGTCATTATGATGGTTGATTGGAGGGTGTGGAATTATGTCAGGCATTACTGGGTGCCTAAGAAGGAGACGTGGGCTGCGGCATATATGCCGAATACTCTGTTGCTGTTTAATAGTACCAACAATAGAGTTGAAAGCTCTCACAGTCAGCTAAAACGATATATCCACAGAAGAGATCCACTACACATATGCATGTACAAGACGTATGAATGGTGTGTACGCACAGAGAAGCGTCGTAGTGTTGAAGTCATCGTCGAAAGTTGTCGGATTCATAAGTACCACGCACTGGAACCAGTTATGCCGATATTACGAAACTTTACTCCTTATGCCGCTAAGTTAATTGCCAAGGACTATGGCCGTAATCGTCGGATAAACATAGAGTTGTATACTGATGATATGGCTATCATAAATGACGGCATATACCTGCACCAAGTGGATTATACCAATTCTACTTGTACCTGCAGAATATTTAGGGCACAAAGAATACCTCGCCGGCATATGCTGCTATGTCACACTCAAATTCCTCAGTTTACAGGTAAATCAAACTCTTACTAATATTTAAATTAATATTTTTAGTTGACAAAGTAATTCGCCTGTATCGCAGATGGTTTTGGCAGGATCCGTTGCTACTAAGTCGTGTGCCGTGTGAAGGTTCAGTGAAGAAACCCTGCATGGAGGTACTGCAACTTCGCAGGCAATTGAACAGAAGCTTCGCAGTTATGCAGGATAATTATAGTAATGAATATACTATTAGTGCACTGCGAGCAACTCTGAATTACTTTGAGAACTTTCTTGTATAATAATGGAAGATGTACATAAATTTTGTGTCAATAAATGCAAATATACCCTAACTTCTAAACTGCATACGCCTTATGTTTTACCGTTTCATGTGACAGAAGTCTAATAGTCATTTGCGAATATAGTAGAAAGCATTTTCTAGAGAGCAAGTAAAAGTGAATACTAGGCGGAATCTCCAGTACTTAGTATGAGAAGTAAGGTGAACGCTTTTTTCTTGTAAGTACGCAATGAAAAGATAATGACGAGTTTTTGTAACTAGCATTGTATTTACTATGTAGGTAATGTTATTACAGGCATACGTTGCTATAACGTGAGTAACACCAATTGTAGCGTCTTCCAGTCAGTAAAATTTTGACTTTTCGTACGTCAAACTTCGCGGAAGGTAGATGAATTTAAAGGCTGCTTCCAGACGATCCGTACAACGGCACCTGAGGCAATGTCTACAAAGACAAAAATAAGATAATTAGAAGACACGTTAAAATGTATAGGTAAATAAGTCAAGTACTGTTTTGGAATAAGGGAGATTACTAGTAATATTACAAGGTCTTCAACTCATTTCATTTCTTTCGACTGCTACCATTTCTTGCGTCAACGTTACTTACTTATAGTTCACTGTAACTTCTTCGTTGCACACTATTTACACAGTGCAAGGAAATGAGAAAATGAGTGCAATACTTAGGATACAGCAATAATAAGGGTATAAGCAGATTAACACTGCAGCGAGGTGCAAGTAATAATAATTTGCTTTGTTCGAAAGCAGTATTAATGTTTCAGTGTTGAATTCGCAGCATCTCGTACATTATTGTATCTCATATTATGAAGTAATAACATCTCCAAGGTATTTCATGTTAGACTTACTTTATGTTTCAGTGCCCTCTGTGATACAAGCATCTTGTGAATGATTCATTCATATACATGAGTATTTTAGTTAAGCGTACTACAGGTTTAAAAAAATCACCCATCTAATTCACTTCTATTAGCACTAATTCTTATGTCCGTGTTACTGACTTTCGGTTTATGTTTTCTTCAGTGCACTTTATCTGGACAATCTAAGGAACTGGGAAATCCATTGAGTACTTAAGAAACGGGACAGAGTGTAAAAGTTATCTTGAGTAAGAGGAGAAGTTATTGTAAGACAACTCCTTTTCAGTTAGACGAGAACCGAATAGAAAAATGCGATTATCATTTGTTGACATTTTGCTTATTTTTATCCACGTTTTAGCATTTCATTATAGATCATTCTGACAGACTGACTTTCAACAGAGAAGCTTGCAAACAAGTGCACCTGTTTACGTTATCACATTCCATGTAGCACACAAAGGTAGAGAAAAAAGAAATCAAATGGAACTCTAATGAGCATAAATGTCATGGAAAACGAACAGTGATATGGAAAGAACACAAGGGTTGCTCAGAAATGTAAAATTACACAGAGTGAATGCATCTGTGTTATTAACAACGTTTGAAGTCACATTTCTACTTAACACTAAGCTTCACCCAAATATTACTCACCATATTAGAGTACTTAACGCAGAACAAAGGGAACAGACACTATGATCAAAAACCAGTAGTCTTTTCATATCTTCCAGTTTCAATGGTCACTTCTCACAACGTAGGTGGACAATGTCATTAGCATACACTAAGTTGACAAGACTTTTCCCTGGTTAGTCCCTGAAGTGAGTGACACACAATTCTGTTAATACATGTATGATGAAAGTGAACTAAAATAAGGACGACAGTTGTAGAAATGAGCCTTGTATTATATCCTTCTTGGAAATATCAGTTCCCTCATAGTTTAGTTTCAGTATTAAGTGAATGGAATGCAATCTACAGATTCATGAAATTCACATACGGACGTACTACTTTTCTGGAATCATAGTTAATGTCTCCTCAGTAAAGTGAGCAATGGGTATTGTACTTGTGTAAAATCAATAGGCTGTGAACCGCTACCAATAAAAACGATATAAATTCCTAGAATTATCAGTTTTAATTTCAGCTGGATCACATGCAACACTCAGCAGTTAGTAAATGGTCACTTCATGAACATGGAATCCATACAGAAAGAGCAGAATATTTAGTACAACATGCACACTCCTGATTTCACTATGCAGCATGCATGCCAAATGTATTACTTTAGGGGCCTACACAGTTCACAAATTAACTCACAACATTGAAGTGGAGAAATTCATATTTGTCCTTACTGAGCTTAATATAGCGGTTCTTGTGAAGTAACTTTCTTATGCAGAAGAGAAGAGCAAGGTATTCATAATCTTTTGCTACATGTGGAATCGCAGTGCAACTCGATGCGCAACAGTATATATATGAATAAACTCAAAAATAAAGTCCTCCTGGTGACACATGTGACATGACAAAGAGTGAGACGGTCAGATAACCGGCGTATTTGACAAAGTTGCTCTCATTAGAAAGAGAAAAGTCATGTAAGACGAGAGAGAAAAAAGAAAAGGAGAGATAACGGTACCCTGAGGAACACAACCTTCAGCAAGCAAGGCAGAAGATTTACCCTAATATACAGTATGCTGTATACCATTTGAGAAATGATAATGCAACCACTCACCTGCACAGGACTCGTGTTTGCACGACCGAAACTGAATTAATGTCATCTAGGTCCTTAGTCAACAACGGCATATGCTGAATAACTGAAAGCTTAGCACAAAAGTGATAAAGCACAAAAAACACTTGCAAAGTAGGAGACGAATCCCGGGTGGATGAAGAGGTTACTGAAAGGTATTTATTTGTCATTTAGCAAAAGCAAGATTAAGAACTGCAATTATCATTTGTTGACATTCTGGAGATCATTATTCATAAATAAATTTATTCTCATAGTACAGTACATGAGGGACGCCAGTTTACAGGCATCATCAAATTGTTACAGAAATAGAACCATATAATTCAATCACAATTTACAGGCAGTAGCAAGATATGCTTTACATGTTCGCTGGAGATTATACATACACTTGATAAATGTTAATCCCAGTAGTATAAAACAGCCTTTTCACTCATACACAATCATTTCTGTGCAAAGTTGGAAAAATCTGCTGGATTGTCAGTGAGTGCAACACAACAGGAAATACAGGAGTATTGTCTTCGCATTAACAAAAAAACCAGGTCTTTGGTGGATGGATTATAAGTGCCTGGGAAAAAAATAAAGCTTGAAGTAAATATTCATGCATAACTTTGTTGTGTGCAGAGTCCTCGAATTATAGTTCATTGATGTGTTATTTTGAAATCAGTGATGTGTTTATCTCATTTGATCTTCAATGTCATTGTTGGGAGTAAGTACATAAGCTTCGGACGCATTAATTAATGGATTTCTACTGCTTGCGGGTATTTTCTTAGCGTGAGGAAGGTTTATGAGTTTCAGCTGTTCCGACAGGAGTTGAGAATATTAACTGCTCAGCAACATTATGGATATAAGTTCATCACATTATCTAAGGAAAGGTGGGTTGCAGTTGGTGAGGTATATATGGTGCCCAACGGGCGTTCATCTGTCCTTGTGATGTTGTGGTGAGTTATACCTTTTTCATGTGGTCGGTTTATGTCCATTTTATTCCACTTATTGTGTTGGGTAGTAGTTTTACAAACGAGATTTCTTGTCTGTTTGAGGATACGTATCTTAACCGTTAGTGTTTTATCTAGAATTATAAATATAGGCAAAAAACAACAGGTGTAGTATTTAAGCTTATGCATTAAATGGACCTATAATTTCGGAGGCTCTCAGATAGGAACTAGAACTACTGTCGTTTGCAAACTCTTGTAGTTTGTCATTAAGCACCTTTTTGAAGGAGGCCAATGTACTTGCTTGACGCATTTCCATTGGTAGTTTATTCCATATCTGTGCATACCTAATCAAGTAAAACTTTTGCCTGGTGGTTGTTTTACATTGTTCGATAGCTACTGTACCCTTAGTGTGTCTTAGTTTGTAGCCATTGTCATCAATTCAGTGTTTCGCATTTAGTTATGCCTACCCTGTTTCATTCTGCTTGGCTCTCAGTATGACTTCGCAAAGAAGTCCAACTGTTAAGTTTACCACATTCCATGCACCACACAAAGGTAAAGACATAAAACTAAATGGAAGTTTAACGAGCGAAAATTTGACGGAAAATAAATAGCGACAACATGAGTTGAATAGATACGTGAGATTACACAGAGTGAATGCATCTGTTCCATAAACAAAGACTTGCAGACATATATCTAGTAGTTCTTCTAGCTGACTGTCAACGATTTTATGAACCAATAGCAGTTTTTCATTCGACTGACCCAAACACATTTTGAACCCTAACATGTGCTGGCTAACATTATCCCTCGAGGAAGGCGATGGCTTGGTATGCAATCACGTGTTATAGCCATCTCAACCTATTCAGCTTCCCAACCTTGAAGACTAACTTACCCTCCCCACCTAAAAATTTATGCGTAACTTCAACAGCAATCGCCATATTATACTGCTTTACTCATGAGGTAGAACACAGACACCTATAATCAAGCACCGGTATTCTTTTCATATTTTCCAGCATCAAGGGTTACTTCTCATAGTCTAGGTGGACAATATCATCAGCAAACTGTAAGCTGATGAGACTATTCCCTGATAAGTCTCCAGAGTCAATTACGGGCTATTCTACTAATATATGTGTGATTGAATTGAACTGATATAAGGATGGCAGTTTAAGAAATCAGCCTTGTGTTACATCCCACTTGGAAATGTGTTTTTTCGGATAATTCACAAACAGTAATCACTGAATAGAAAACATTCTGTAGACTTTATGAAACTCATAAACTCATGCAATTTTTTGCGGGCAACATAGTGTTTCCTCAATAAAGTGAGAATTGGATATTTGGGCTGCATAAAACGAGTAAGTGGTATCCTGACAATACCAATGACTACAACAAGTCTTGGAATCATGCACCACAACTTTTACTTTACTGAATACTCCAGCAGATTTGAAATATGCACTTGACAAATATCAAATTTATACAGGAAGTCAGTAAGATTTACTAAACTAAAAGCACTTTCGGTTTACACAGGAGATCTCCATGCCGAATTTATTCCTCCGAGGGCCTACACAGATTACAACTTCAATTAAATGACATTGACGTTGAAGAAATTCCATTCTTCATTACTAAACTTAGTGATAATAATAATGTTTTTATTCTAGAAACAGGAGCATTCCTAATGTTTCACTTTATGTAAATGCAGTTACATACAGTTGCACTAAGAACTCAATGCAACTCAGTGCACAATAGTATATACACAAATAAACTGAAAAATAACGTACTCCTTACCTTCTGAACAACTTTTCCTTATTACAGGATAATAACTTTCTTTCACGTATAAGCCTGAGATATGTCTACGAAATCACAATATTATATCAGTTAAATCTCCCCCCGAAACCAAGGCCACTTGAAACCAATAGCAACATTGAGACAAACGTCATTGATGGGATATGCAATAAAGTCGCTCGTGGCATTAACAACTTTACCTGATCTCTGGCGTAGAAGTGATATCGGCTTATCGTTTTAAAGACGTGTGCACTGGAGCAGTTCGCTCTCTTCCCCTGTTTGAATATTGGGATGTTGCCATTAGAAATGGAGGGCATGAAATGAATAGCTGTCTTCAACCACAGATGTTTCCGTTCTATCTCGCGTGTTAAGTGACCCAATATAGTGAGTAATATTAAGGTTAGGGGCAATGTTAGGTGGCGAGAGTAAGTCAATCGGCAAGGTTGTGGTGAATCAAATCTAGGTGTCAACCCCATCAAGTCTTCGACCATTGGTTCGAGAAATGTAGGGTGGTATATACTGCCTGATTGGAATCCTCAGCATAAGTGGCAAGGGCCGGAGACAACTAATAATATGGCTCAAAATAGTGCCACGAGACGCAATCATGTAGGTGGACTGTTCGGCAGTGGATATGGGATGGATAACTCCTTATCTGTATTTACGTGATATCCACCAAATGTAATCAGTGGGAAGCGCTTACTAGTCTACTTACTCCTTTACCTAAAAAAACTGATGTATGTACATGAATGCATACGGAAAAATTTCCAAGCACAACCTACATAATTTTAGTAGCTACAGTTTTACTCACCAACTAATGTAGTCATCATCAGTAACATACTTTCAACACACTGCATCGGTATAGGTCTGGATAAACCATGACATATTGTGGTGAGAGCTGTCTGCAAGACAAAATTGTAGATAACAATTGACGTCAGTGTCTACGTCCCAAATCGGGGTCATGAGATAAAACAAGAACAAAGCCTAACCTTGAGGAACTCAACAACCAATCACAACAGACTTAGCGTGGGCTGATATGATTCGCAGATATATCACCGGACTGTGTTAGTAACGGCAACAAAGAGATGACAGAAGACGTTGCTTCTCTGCTAAAATAACAAATAATCATGTACATTGATTTACTCAATAAACGGTCTGTTACCTGGCCTTTGTCTCCTGTAGTTTCAATATAACTTCGTGACCTGAAGTGTGCTCTCAGCTTTGGGTGCAATATCTAACTAGATATAGATTTTCCCTGAAATAGGCTCCAAAGCGAAATTTTTTTGTACTTATTTTATCACGCTTAGTTTTGTCAGTTTCCTAAACATACACTTTGCTACGAAATCGCTAGTATATTCATTTTTCAACAGAATACTCTTCAGATTTCCTTTTTTTTCATGAACGCGTTAACAGGTATACAGCCGTTTGATTTTTAGACAGCGGGTTAAATTACATTTAAACTATGTCGATATGAACCTACGGAAATGGATTTACTAATAATTTTACGTAGTCATGCTTAACAAATTTCTCTTAATAAAACTAGGAGCCCTTTAGGTAAGAATATAACTAATTGAAAGCTACCTTAATATACGCTAGCTTTAAAGTAAATGTAATGACTTGGTGGATATTATTGAGAACTTGATGTACACCAGACTAAATTTCGCCATTCGCAATTTACACAGTTCGATGTAAATTCCACCAGTTTTCTTCGGAAGCTGAAATTATTCAGATTACAAGATGTGATCAGCCTGATAATATTATATACTGCTGTTCGACTGATATCAGTAGCTGGATGCCATCCACATCAGATAATAGTCCGTTTGAATCATTTTGATCTGGTTAGGAAATTCTACTGGTGGGTGTGAGTGATAACCAATTACTCACACCAGTCAATCAGTTATGTATACTATCATGCATTTATTCTCGGGGTAGATCATATCTATATTTACCAAGTTTGTATCACGTTGACAAACGCAAACATACCTCACCTGACTAACTCAAGGTTAAAAGGCTTCAATAAATGTGCCAATCACTATGCAAAGGATAGTATGAAGTCTAGTGAATAAAAGAATGCAATTTCCAGATAGCTTGTCTATGTCCTTTCGTTAATATGACCTTCGTATGGTACCTAATATTATCGCACTGATATTAGCAGTCAACACTAGAACTTTTAAATCTCCCTACTTGATATTTAGAAGACGGTATTAAATTTCATTCTTAAATAAACAAGTCTTCAAATTGCACATATGTAGTTGAACATTCGATGTGAATGCGGCTGTCATATAATTTTGCGACACGTTATAGCCTGCATATCTGCCTTATCCAAGGTAACACTGGTACACATTGAAGACCTATCAACTTAGGTCATTAGGAAAATTATATTCAGGTATCTGTATACTCAGTACTTTTGTCTGCTGGATCCTCTATTTGATTTTATGGACATTCAACAATTCGTTTATTAATAATTCCGCTACAGACCTGATAGTGTATAAAGACACTCTGTGTTCAGCGATTTTTCCCAATTCAATGAACATTTAAAGCTATTTGTTTGAGAGATTGTGTGCGGTGGTTTACAGTGAGTCTTGCATCTAACTGCAGGTACACATTGACAGCACCTTTATTCCAATAGGATGTTTATATATGATTTAAGTAATTTAAAAATCCTTAAGTTACTTAGATAAATCCCTCCATCCTTTTAATAAACAAGCCAATAGAAGAAATAATAATGTGCATATTTTAAAAGGTGAAAATTTATTACCTAGAAAACCAGTGACATATGTAAACAAAATAGTAGAATCCATACAAATCCAATACAAAAATAAGTTCTAGGCACGCCAATCAAATAAATGCAGAATATCCCAACATAAGAAAAATGCATTTCTGATAAGTCCACACACACTCCCGGTTGATAAGAAGACGAAATCTGCAAAAAAAATGAAATTCAACACTTCAGTCTATTAACAAAATGTTGGGAAGTATAGTGTAAAAGAGAGTGAAAAATGAAGTGGAGAATTTCACTAACCACGATTTAAATGACTTCGTTTTCTTGACATTCCTGAGATGTATTATCTCCACTCATAACCGAATAAGAATCAGATTCACTTTGTTGAAGCGTTGGGAATTTTGTTTTATTGCTACTGTTATCCGCCTCCACGAACGACAATAAAGTGGTTAGTTGTACACGTCGTTTCTGCGGTTTAGGTGGAAGCACACGGTCATCGAAATTCGTAGCACTTTTGTCCGATCTGAAATACAATGGCCCAAGATTAATGATAAGTAACAGACTAATTATTTAAATGTCATATACATAAGAGAGGAATTTTTCAAAATCAGTTATCATAAAGAATCAAAAAATATATATTAACTGTGTACACAGCTAACAGAATTACTATTCAAAAGGTTATTTTTTTAAGCCATCGAGTTCCCGTAATTTTCACATCATCAAAATCACAATTCCATTTTGAAAACTAGATAACGACAAATAATTATAAGTCCTCAAACAAACCAGTAGAGAAATCGGTACCAGAAACCTGAGTTGCAGCAGTATACCTTTCGGAAAGCTATCAGTACCGCTAAAGAAAGCAAAACGAAAAACACTTGCCAATAGTAAAACGTTTTACATTAACTGATGAACAGGAGGTTTGCATGCATACAGTGAACTGTATCTTAATACATGGCCGTAAAACAACACAGCTGACATCAACGCGCACTATAAAACCTTTGTCACACGTGCTGGAAATCAATAGGTAAAAAATTATGCCGTTAGATACGATGTTTTATGAATACAAATCAAGTACAGCAATTAAACCCACACAGTCTAGAATGAGTAGGTAAGAATGGGAGAAATGATCTGAAACTAATCGAAAGGAGATTACTCATTTTTATGCCACCTGTTTAGCACTTATGGACGCGCATATATATATATATATATATATATATATATATATATATATATATTAAGAACACGAGTCAGTGAAGAGATCCCCTCTTTTCGTAACATCACTTCAAAGCTGTACAGTTATTTAGGTTGTTTGTATATGCAATGTAGACTGACAACAGAGGTCAAAGGTTATCGTCAAATGATAACAAAACGAATCAAAGTGAATGAGTAATAACTATGACAACTAACTAGTTGAGTGACGAATACTCGTTTGGAAATAGTTGATAAGAGACAAGAGAACAAAAGATTGAGAGTGAGTGAATTACAAAAACATAAAACGGTTTTACACAGAGCTTATTACACACTTAATCAGGAAGACAAATAAGGAAGAAAAAAGAAGACGAACAAATAGTATTAAGCCTGAATGAAACTCTTCTGAACACAAAATTCAGAGTTCTCCTTAAGGATTGCTGCATTAAGGCTTCAGCTGCATGATGATACATATATCTACTCGAACTTTAGAAAATAAGGATCGTTACTGATAAATTCATGTCTTCCTCTAGTAAGAACAATTTTGGTCAATGAATATTTGATTCTCGTAGAGAGTAATATATGAATAACAGGTTGATTTGCAAATATTTTTACATTCACATTTTTTGTGTATTCATAAAACAGCGCATAATGCCGATTGATTTATAATGAAGTATACAGGCCTAAAATTCATCATTTTAATTCTATTGGTTCCCATTTATCCGACGGCGATCAGTTGCATACTGATAAGAAGAAAAAAACACGTCTTTTTGTCCAGAGGAGAAGCATTCGTTTTCAACGACATCATTTCCAAGCTGCACATATGTATTTATAATATTACAGAAAACCGCATTGCTTGACACTAAGAATCTCTCATTCTGTATACGGAACTATCAATGATAGATACGAGGAATTAAGTGGAACATTAAGAAGCAACTATGTAAGAATGACTTTACTACCAAATAATAGATAAATAGATGGTCCGTGTAAACCACTTGGCTAATTAACTTTTTCACTCAAAATAATGCATCGAGTTCATTCTATTGTCATATATTATTTGTATTAATAAATTAACATCTTTATTCGTACTTCGCACTCTTGTGCATTGTTAAATAGTTTTCGACCTACCGTCGTGAATATTCCTGAATGAATGAAGTAAAACAAATATACTGTGAGAGAATCAGAGTGCATCTCATTTCAAACAACATACCATACCATACGAATAGCAAATTGTCTATTATTATATTTACGAAATATTCTCTACAAGAGGATGAACACTTAGCAATAAAACGCTAGAAATTATGTACTACATATAAAAGTATTATCTCAAATTAAAACTTAGTAATTTTTTTCAAAACAAATAAGACAGATGACATAAAACCAAATTCTGAAATACTTTAGATTCTTTATACGAGTATTCTTCATTTTAAGTTAAAGTAGCAAAAAGACATCACATGTTAACAAAATATACCTTATATCTGTTATCTTCTGGTCATTCGTGGACTTATTTAAGTCGCACATGTCTACAGATGGGGAGTTAACTTTAGATGAATCATTTTCATAACTAGGAGTTTCGCTCACTGTAGAATCTGGTTTCACTAACTCCATTTCAACATCATTATTAGAGGGATATTTATCCATTTCGCCAACAATAGCAGTCCCCATTGGAGCAGGCTGTGGACTAGATGCACCGAATACACCTCGATAGTGCGCACCAAGTTCACCATGAGCGAAGTGAATAAGGGAACAATAACCATCAGTAGAACAGATCACAACTAAATGTCCATCTTTCGACCATGTTGCATCATTTAAAGCTTGATAATGCAATTGAGAAGCCTGAAAGGCATAATAGTTATTTTTTTAAAGAATAGATCAGCGATCGATTTATAGTTTCAAAATAAGTTAAGAAAATCAATGCGAAAAAAGTATCTACTTCAATGTTTTTTGAGATGTTAATTATCCCCAATTGTTAATCATATTTCTCTTGTGACAATTTTATGGACTGTGATTTAGGTAATACAATGTACTTGTAAGTACCATGCGGGTTAGCTACTAATGCGGAAAAATGCTAATAACTGATTATGAGAAAGGTGGGCAGTCGTTCTCAGCTACATACTACAAATTAACTGTCTGAAGAAATTCTACACAGCTTCATAAAAGCATTATACTCAGAATACTGAGGATATATATACAGAGGGTCACTCTGGTGGAGGTAGTTCTTTTGGAGCAGAAGTGGGTATGACCTTGAAAAGTATGCATGTGCTTGAGCCGTATCTCAACAACTATTCTCAACCGAAGATATTACTTTGACAGTTCGCAACTTGATGTTTGTGTGCGTAAAACCAGAGGATAATTACCGTTGAATGGTGAAAAACCGAGGTGTCTACGTGTGCGTAAATCATTGAGCATTACCTCATTCAAAATACGAATAGCATAAGATTGATAATGGATCCCTTCCCAATACACGAGGGAGAAGGATAAGATTCAAAACCGTCAATTTAAGTCAATTTCGATATAACCAAACATTACTTCAAGTATAGAATATATGATTATCTAGATTTTGGTGGGCGCACTGAGAACTTGTAGTGCTCCCACCCCCCCCCCCCGCTAGTTTGACCACCGACGCCTCTGAAAACAACCTAAAGGTTTCAAATAGGAAGGAGAGAATGTCTTAACCAATTTATTATCTCATTACTGGTCAGTTTTAGACACTTTCCCAGACTTCAGACTTGTGAGAATAAACACTTGCAGCTTCCCGCTAAGAGAAAGAATTTATGTAGGTACAGGTCCATGCAGGAAATACAATAACTCATTGGTACGAAACTTTGCCTTTGAGTTTTTCCCGATAGTGTGTCTGATTTTAGAAAAGGAAACAAAGAATGTGCACTTTATAATCCTTGCGCATATAGTCAGCCAGACAAGAACCACTGTAGTCATTAGTTTGAATTTTCTTTGATCAGTATTCGCACAAATCAAGGCTACTTTATTAGATGTACTGCTAACGTCATTGGTCTCTACACTTAATGAAACATAGTCTCATATCGTCTAAATGTGAAATGTAATAAAAAAATATATACAACGAAGCTGAATGGTACTTTTTCAATGTGGTAAGCTATGAGCCAGAACTTTTGGTAACATTTGGTTACCAGGTCAAAGTAGCTGGGACGACGGTCAAACTGTGAAAATGCTTAAGTCAAATCTTCATTGCGAATGATTGATAAAGTTGAAGGGAAAAAACCGGTTGATATCTACACATAGTATAGTTAACTTCTGATTACCTAGTACTTAGACACATGAATAACTTACGTTTTAAAAAGTATGCAACTGCTTTACAATGTTAAGTGAATTCAAAAAATAAACTTAAGCATACAACAGGAAATAAATTTAGCGAGCACTTAAGTGAAACGGACGAAATGGAACGGTAATGCTATTGATGACAAAAAATATTGATGATGATAAAATACGCAGGAAATTTAGAGATACGAAAATCTTATTTACCTTGCCTTACATATTATTTGGTCAAAAAAATAGACTGGGTGACGCACAAGTGGATGAACTACTTTTTGAAGCATTGAAATATTTCAATTTGTTATACTCATAACTTAGTTTAATTTCATAATTTGTTTCAAAAACATAACACAATTTTTAGAAACTATCATAGTAAGTATAATAAGCTTCCAAAAATTCAATACAGTAAATGTTAGCACACGAGACTAATCTAGTGTGTGCTACTGGCAAGATTTATAAGTAGTATATAAAAAGACGTTCATCGGCATAAAAATATCGAATAGCGGAGAGATAGATTCGACGCCAACGGCAGCAAATGGTTCAGCGTTGTGACAAAACATGGGTGACGAGAAAAGAAGACAAAGAAACACAATACATAGGGGAGAAGTGGCAAGCACAACACGGAAGGTCTGTGCAAATGACAATTTGCAGATAAGGTGTAGTAATAATTTCGCTATACAGAGATACCAAATTCCAAATAAACATTCCGTTACCAAGTCTTTTGTCTTGTGTCGTTACAAATGCACTTTCTTTCGATTTACTTATGCAAGTTTTTCTAATAGGAGACACAGTTACATTTATCAAAAAAATTGGCTAAGTAAGGCGGTCAAGTAAAATTATCTACGTCAGCTGGGCAACTTGTTAATCAAAACGCTACTAAAAAAGAAATAGTAAGACTATAGTGAGTTGAAACGAAGTTCACGTCTTTATATTAGTCAAAAGCGATATCATCATCAACATCCGACACACTGGATTCCCACTCTTCTCCGACAGATTAACGTAAAAATGATCTATCCTAAAACTAGTACATACCTGCTTTGTTTAATCAAATACTAATGTCGACTGTAAGTAGCGTACTGTGGTAGACTCAATATAGTTATTCTAAGCTGAAAATTCTAGAAAAGTCAAGAGCGACACATCATGAGCAACTGCTTTTGGTTTGAACAATGATGCTTCGTTATAAAATACCTCTAGGAGTAACTTTTTCCATGCAACACTTAGAGTAGTGAAATCGCTTTCATTTCATCCTACTTTGGGAATCATCGGCAGTACGCACCCACTGGGATTCGAACCCAAGACCTTCCGGTTACAAGGCAAGCTTGTATACCATCGTCTTTCTTCTATTATTTCTTTGGAAATTCTTCTCTTTCACCTGCTTTAGGATTACATCACTTTTATTCTTCATGTTCGAAAGCATATTCTGACTGACTGAATGATGTGGACCTTTTCACAAAAGTGTATCAACTCAAATTGCCACATTTCGGTAAAGCATACAAGAAGATGGGAAAAATACATCGTGAGGATGCCATATTATGAGCAGGAATACATAAAGAGACAACAATTAAATGATTATCTGTTAATATTCGTAGAATTAGAAAGATGACAGGGCGTGAACATATCTGCACCATGACGGACGATATTTAACCATACCACCAGTACTCTTCTTCGTAGCATTCTCTGGACTGCAACCGTGAGTCATACCAACAGTTGACGATTCATCTGATCCTACTTAACTCTTTTTAAACCTATTATAGCTCACATCGCTTAAGAAGGAAGGTGGATCGACAGGTCAAACCCCATATAATGGAGTTTCTCAACCTCATCTATCAAGTTACTCAGTGAATGGCGGTATCGGTGAGAAGACTAAATATTAATTGCTGACAATGTTTTAATACAGATGTAAAAGGTTTGATTAGCGTTTACCAAATCGAGATTTATGATGCAGGTGTCATATTCCACTACCCATCAAAGTACGTATATACTGTGTAGGAGTTTGCGTGGTTGATGTGCTTGCGAAGCTACATTGAAAGAGAAAGTTAGGAAATACAATACGCACGCCAAGCCATCGCCTTTCACGACGAAGAATGTTAGTTGGAATACAATTAGAAAAGAATTAGGGATGGTCATATGAACACTTGAAACCAACCCGTGAAGTTTTCGGTTGTTAGTTTCAGCCGTATAGGGAGCTTTAAGTTGTCTGGCTTCAGTCGTCAGAATGATAAGAATCAGTAGCGAGAGACCATTAGTTACACAGCTCAAAACAGTTCCCATTGGCGCAGATGTATTCACCCCTCATCTCAATGCGATTCTTCAAAATCCTCACTAATCTTCATTTAAGTGTTCTTCCCTTTGTATATTCTTCTCTATTGCGGTTTCTTTTCATTTCTTTTCTGTATTTTTCTGGTGTGTAGCAACTTGAAACCCTACACTTTTTTCGCCTAGTTATATATCACCAAGGCAGTTAAGTTAATAAAAATTAGAGTATTTAACCTTTGTATAATACAATAAGATAAATGTTAACAGATTTCCTTACCTGCGCAAACGGTACACTTTGTTGGGTGTCATAAAAAAGTACACTATCCTCCAACACTAAACAAAAAAGCCATCGATAATCCAGATTGAACAGTTTCGTACATTGATTTGTAGTGTTCTGATTTAGGAAACTAGTTTGTCTTAATTGAAAAGGTTGAGGACAAAAGCGCACTGCAACCACTGGTTTAGAGCCTGTGGGCAAACTGACTACCGGTCGGGTGAAGTTAGAACGTACAAAAATATGCGCTGCATGTTGTGGAGCGACCGGTGGAATAGCTGCCAGCACGCTGTCGGAATTCTGAGCACCATTATTTGACGTTTGCATCTCTGCGAATTGAGCCTCCTCAAGGTTTCCCGACGGGCAAACAAGAAATAAACCATCTGGACTAAAAGTTAATCGTCGGAAAAATGACTTCCAGGAATCATCCTAAAAAAATAAACAAATCAAGCATAAGCCGAAGTTGTAATTCACACTTCAGTAGAAACAAAGCGAACAGAAACAAGGTTACACTTTTTCTAAAAACTACACCCTCATAAAACAGATGGCAATGAACATGAAGTTATGAAGTATATGGCTGTGCGTGATACAATGTTCATTGAAACTAAAAATGTAAATCCTGTTTGTGTGGAGGAGAAGACACATGGATCAATCAATGATACAAACTACACTGTCCTATACCAAAGGTAAAAGTGATGATGATCATCAACCTTCCCACTAATTTGTCGATGATATTAAGAAAATACACGAGAAGTTTGGAATTTAATTTCAAGATGCCTAAGAAGATTGTGGGGTATCGGTGGCATAGCGGTTAGGATGCTCGCCGACCATGCACATGCTCCGGAGTTAGATCCCCAGCCGACGCACTCCTTTATCTCGCTAAGCCAGAAATAATGTTGGTAAAGAGGAAAGGTTGGGCATGAGGCTAGTAACCTCATCCTGTAAAAATTAAACACTGCTACAGAAACTTCTAGACACTAGTTCGAGGCCCTATGTTCCACTGGGAACGTGAAGAGAAAAAAATATGAAGATTGTGAACAACTCTATGAATGATGGCAAATATTATTTTTAGCCAGTATATACAATCCGTTAATTCTGATAAAGACACTTGCAACTTAAGCAAAGAACTAGTAGTGACGTCCAGAGCTATGCCTTGAGGCAAATAAATGCACCTCTTATTGGAATAAACACAAGTTTAAGGAACTATCTAGCCGACAGACCTACCAAGGTAAACCAGTCTTTAGGTGATAAAAGGTAAAGCTGTTTGTATTTCTGTTCTAGTGCAGCAAATGAAACCCAAACAAACGTAAAGGTAGATCAATGGTGTGAAACATTCTTGAAATAACACCAAGTATCGTGTTATGATATAAAGCGGTGATAGAAAAAAAATAATGGAAAAGAAAAAACCTATGTACATAAAAATATATCACATTTGGAGGACTGCAACTATATTGATCTGCTTAGTTTTGGTTGTCTAACTTATCAGACAGCCTATAACGATATTTTCATACGGCCGTTTTCTCTTCGTTTTCAATACTTTTTCTATCTCTCTTATTTTCGCAAATTATTGACCATTACCTCATTCAGAATACAAAAAGCATAAAATGGATGATGGATTCTTTCACAATACACATAACTGAGCAAGGCAGAGTAGGTATTTTCAATCTCACGATGCGAATTGTATGTGTGATATTACAACTGCTCTCGAGTCATATTCTCAATACTCTGTTAATTCAGTTTGTCCTGTGAAACTCATATTTTCCTAATTGAAATATGCAGCGCACATCAGCTATTCGTGCGTCGGTGGCGTAGTGGTTAGGACCATGAACATGGTCCGGGGTTCGATCCTCGGCCGACGCACTCCTTTACCTCGCTGAGCCAGAAATAATGCTGGTAAAGAGGGAAGGTTGGGCATGAGGTTAGCAACCCCATCCTGTAAAATAAACACTGCTACAGAAACTTCAAGCCACTAGCTTGAAGCCCTATGTTCCACTGGGAACATGAAGGGGAAAAAAGGCATGAGCCATAGTTACTGTAATATGCACTAATAAAGCTGGTGAAAAAAAACCCACTATGTTTGAACTCTTGAAGTACTTTTACGACAATCAAGTGTTCATAGTTAGCAAGTTCTAACAGTTCAACTCCTAGGAGAAACATGGTATGTATTACTAATGAAACCTAAGTAACAAATAATAAAAAAATTCCGTGATAAACATGTAAGGTGTTAACTATTAATAAGACACTGACACTTATCGCAACACGTCACACTAGAGTTAGATAACCCTTCTGAAGCAATTTAGATAATAGCATGGCCCAGAGGGTACTTTGCCAAGGTACATGAGCTAACTGCAAATTCTACATAACCAGAACTATTTACGACTGCATTTCACTTCATCAATATGTTGCCTTGAAAAATCACCTTAAAATTTCTTCTTTCTACGATAAACTTAAGAGAGTGGTGAGAATCTACTAACAATAAATACAAGAGTATTACTTCAATTATTCATTAGTGTTTTGTTTGAAGTGCTTTTAATGATTTCACATTATCCCACCCTATTTTTTGATATTTCGCAAGTGAATGCATATCTATGATCAAGCTTTTATCTAAATGACCAGAATTAGCTGGGTAGATCAATCTAGATCTACTTAAATCCTTATGTTTTGACACTATCTACTAGTTTGAATTCTTACTCATTACAGTGGTATTTGGTAGATTATATTATACCATGAATAACCCCTCATTTAAGCACTAATAAAAACAAAACAAGTAATTCAGTGAAAAGACTCCTTTCGGTGAATTCACTTTCTTTAGCTGTAAAATCGCATTTATAGATTAAATTTTTCACAAAAAAAGATAACAAAAGACAAGGCCGATCGATGGCTAGACGTGCATGAGCAACACGTGTTCTAACCATCTCAATCCATGTAACTTCATAACGTCATCGATTGGTTCTCACTGCTTACCTAGCACTCGACCGATGCCTAACCTGAATATTACTCACCGTGTTATACCACCATCTAAGACGGGAGATAGAACTCAGACACCTATGATGCAGGACAGCCAGCGAGGCAGCCAATCAGTCAGTCAGGCATTTCATGTCTTCCACTTTCAGTGGCCATGTCTCAGAGGCACAAAAGAAGGAGGACGGGGCGAACTGACTGCTGAGCAGTACCCACGCCCTTTGGTCGACAGCCGGCCGGATGTCGCATTGACACCGGAGATGGCGTAAGTTGGCAGGCATCTGCTAAACGAGCCTTCTGTATCCTCCGCCACTCTGAGATTTCGTCAGCCATCACATTAACCCTCTGGTGTTGGCTGGTGCAACTTCCCAAATAAGTGAAGTAGTCAACATGCTCAGCGGCCACTTCACTCTCTATCTATAAAATAGGAGTTAGTATAGTCCAATTCTGTACCATCATCTTAAATTTGGCGGTAGCGAATCGCGTACCAAACATTCACAGCTTACTGTCCAAAATGTTCAGAAGTCTCTGCAATTCCCTAACGTGTTCACCTAGTAGGACTGTGTCATCTGCATATTCTAAGTCAACGAGATTACTATTCCCTGATGGTAATCAGTCAATCGCTGAGTCACTGAAGTCAGCAGTTAGTGATGAGTCCATCAGTACATCTATGATGACATTAAATAGAAGTGGTGAGAGTGGGCATCTCTGACGGACACCGGTGTTTGTCAACACTTAAGATGATAACTCTCCGTAAGCTCTCACCTCTCTGGATGAGCTACATTACAGTGCCTTGGTCAAGGCGATGTATTTTCTCGGCATCCCCTTCAAAACTAAACATCGCCATAATACCTCTCGGTTGACGGAATCGAATTCCGCTTTCAGGCGAAGGAATATGACAATTGTTGAACGTCTGTATGTGGAGAAAGAAAATTGTTGGCCGAATTTTTGTTCATCGAGTTGACACTCAATATATGCAGTAAAAGTCCCAGATAAGTGAGAAAACAAAGTCATATGTTTACACTGATATGATTATATGAGCAACAAATTGTATTCAAAACATCAATCGGCTGCCAAAAACTGTCGAGATAATATGCCAGAAAGATTTCTAAATACAACCAACAAAGTAGAATTACAAATGAAAACAATTTTATCACGCACGAAACATTCTTATTGAATTCTGTTCGGCTAGTGACAAATAAATAAATAAAATAGTTCTATTCATAAGTTGTATTCCTTGTATGCACATGACAGACACACCAATAAACAGGAAAGGATACACACAAACCGTACACACCCTCTGATTTAATCAGAGAGTATCAATGACAGATAATTCAATGCCACAGAAGATATTTGACCAACTAGACGCGGTGTGAAAGAGAACAGCCACACAGATTAGGAGTATTTATTGAGCGTTCAACAAGGTATGATAACTTTTTTAATTCTCCGCTCTCAGTTTAATTAGACAATACGTCCCTAAATTAGTTTCATAATGACTTCAATTGCACTTTTAGGGAAATTAGTTAACATTACAGGAAAGGTGTTTAATAATTACACGTTGGTCATACAGGATATGGATGAAACTCGATATCACTCGATTTTTTTTTTCGCTGGCCGTCTCAGTCATTCAATATGAAACACAATAACACCACTATGTAGAGATACATAAAGCAGTAGTCAACACGTGTTAACAAATAAAACGTGGATATACATATTAAGCAATAAAAAAGCAAGTGCATGCAAGATACTGTTAGAACATGTTTCAGTTGAACAGCTAGAATAAACCACACTATGGTTAACAACTATAACAGAAATTATAATGATTCTGCTAATTTTACTACTTATAACAAAACCTAGGACGAAATCTTTGTCCAGAAAAGTCATAACACTCGAAACAGTAAAGAGCTTACGCCAGGATTCGATAAATCTACACGATGCCATTCATTGTGAAATACTGAAAGCATATTTATTTAGCACAAGCCCAGAGGAACTACGAGTTACGTTATTCGGGCATATATATATGACTTTAAGTCAAATAATCCATAAAACGACCATCATTCGACTGTGAATAAAACCAGTACATATATATTAACAACTTACCTGGAACAAACGTTGTTTCCCTGCCTTCGATACATGAGCTAAACAATTTTTGGTTCCTGCTCGATATATTCGACAAGCTCGATCGCTACTCAGACTGGCAACATAAAAACCTAGGGGATCCCATGTAACACCTTGGACATAATGTTTGTGATCACGCAAAATCAAAGCTTTAATTCCGGAGTGAATGTTCGTTGCATTTGACACTGTTGTATTCTCCGGTCGGGTGCAGTTTACGTTATCCAAAGCTGTATCACCAACATTCCCCACGTCTTCTACTGCCGTTGCAGGAGATGACGAAGGAGCTAAGTCAAGTTGCCAAACAATAATTGAGTGGTCAACAGACCCAGAAATAAGTGCACGTTCATCAGGCGACCAACAAATATCGTAGATATCTTCCAAATGGCGTCTGATTAAAAGTGCATAAATGATTCACATTACATGAGAAAACAGATATTATCATTGATTATCGACATAAACATTCACATTATATTGGAAATAATTAAAATAACATGGTGTTCTCACTATTTGTGAGAAGGATGACGATGGAAATGTTATCGTTAACTAACACTAGTTATGGAAAAAGACGATATTTGAGTGTACAGCTGTCTTCTCTAATCTTATGTTAAGGCTCTACAGTTACCAATCTATCAATATTATTATACAGTAACCAGTAGGAGGTGGAAATAAAGGTTGATAAGAACCCTTGTTATGCAAGATACAGTCAAATGTGATGGAAGTAGAAATGAACTGCGTAGAGAGAATGTACAATCATGTGGCGTATAAAACATTAGAGAATTAAGAATTTACAAAATTAATACTGGTTTACAGGTGTCAGAATCAGAGAATAAAATAACGGATAGACACTGGTATTCATACCATTACTAGTAATGGTAATATACACATATACACAGTGTAAACTAAGTGTTTTTAAGAGTGTAATGTAGGAAGAGGCAAAAAAGGGCTACATGAGATCTGAAGTTGATCAATTTTGAAGTGACCTTATAGCAGGTCAAGGTAGACATAAAAGTTGGATGCACTTCTAGTTAATCTGTTGATTGAAGGCAACATCACAAATATATACTTTACAAAGGTGAAACAATAGACTGAAACAATTGTACAACCTCAATTAATGCTTCATGTTTTCCTATGTACTACACTCTCAGTTGCGCTTGTAATATCAACTATCTAGCTATTAGAAGAAGGATCAAACTCAGTATCAGTTGGAAGGAATTTCGCTATAAGCATGAGACATAATGACAGCAAAATAATGCCTGGTAGTAACGAGTACCCTTGGTAGCAATTTTTACCATTGTGTTGCATTTAGCTTAGTCAGTGTTGCAACGAAACTTCACCAAACCTAAAATTTCGAGAATAGTTCACAAGCGACTGACAGAACGGATATCTGTTGGTTTTCGTGCGTAAACAACGCAAGGCTAAATGGTGAGAGCTGTATGAATTTATCACAGAGTGAACTATTCCTCGTCAGGAAGTAATCCGTAGGTTATCAACGAACCTATTTATGTTTTTTTTTTATTCACTACTACAATCCGTGTTAACAGAAGTGTTATTCATTTGCATCCCTAAATAACTTTCAACTTTGAGATTTAAAGCAAACACACATGCACACACAAAATTATGAGATTTTATATACACGAAGTTGCAAAGTTGTATGAGTGCCTTGAAATGACTACGAATAATAAATTGTCCTCGACACGTTATCAGTAAATAATACTGTATATCACTATGTTTTTATCAAGTTAAATGATGGAATTCTGCTCTGTCACGGTGCCCAAGTTCTATTAATATGTCAAAGAAATAACATTGGTGCAATGATACTGAATCCGACAACAAATAGAGCAACTGTATTCATCGGCGCTGGGCGATACAAAAGAAGTAAAGTTAAACGTGAAGTATTACTTATTCAAGAGAGAATATCACTTACATCATCTATGGAAAATCAAAACCTCAAAAATGTCAAAGCAGCTTAAGATCACTTGGTTTAATTTTCCCTAGTTTCTATGATTTTTAAAAATGTGGGAATAATAATAATAATAATTATGGAAACTTCCAGTCTAACTTCGCAATAGACTAACAAATCAACTTGCAGCACGAAGTAGAAGTGCAGAAGTTTCGCTTGCGATATTGATTAATAACAGATAGATGTCTATGTAGAAAAGCACCACTGAAATGTTTACGTAATCATTAGCTGAGAAGCAGTAACCTGATTGGACAACTGAATGAAGATCAATAGAAAAACCAAGACATAGACTATTCGAAATATAGGAGGAAAGTCAAAGGAATTTCAGTTGTTGAAACAAAGGGATCTAATATGTCACATGTATTTCATCTTTATATTCCCGTCAGCTATTTACTGCTGCCTTGTGGCGTTTTACCTTGTTCTTTTCAACTATAAAGTGACTCTAAACTAAAATACTACTGTTAAAGAGGATTTCTTCAAGAAATCAGCTAAAGAAACACCGGATAGCTGTATGGTTCTAATACGGGACTACTCAACAACAGTGCGAGTCCTTGATTTTACGCAGCAAACTGTAAGGTTACGTGAGTTGTTCTCGTTTAATATCAGTATTGTATGCGCTTCTGCAGCTTCAACTACTTCAGTCTAAGTAGCTGGATGGTATCGATCAGCCGTCACACAACAATTGTGACTTATGGTCTGGTAACTGAGAATTCTTCTCCAGGGTAAGACAATTCGAACAGCAACTTATGCCAATTTAAAAGAAAACGTGACTATGGTTCAATTCAATTGGTACATGACCTTCTTCATAAGCGAGCTATCTACTAACTCTTACCGGTCATTTCTCCTATTTGCACTACTGGGTTAAGTTCTATTTTCTATTAATCTGTTTAATGAATAAAATGGAACGAAAAATCCATTTTTTAGTTATATTTTCATGACGAAAAGTAGAGTTCCATATTAACGGGTGAACTCTCGTCATTATAAAAAATACGTTAATACTACATTGAATAACAAATGACTGGAAATATACTGGTCATATTATTATTAATAAATTAAACTGGTCAATCAATCAATCAATCAATCGGTTAATAATCAATGAATTTCACAGCTTGGAACAAGTAAAGGTACACATAAAATACCTTTGTTATAAAACACTTTGTACCGATAAGTGGAATACACTTACAAATAAAAGTAGTGCTAACCAGATTGATGAAAATATCGTAACTAATGCATACACACTGACCGCTAATATATATATATATATATATATATATATATATATAAATTGTTTCGACCACATCAAATAACTATACATACAGTGATCCTTTAAAGCTATCCTTATCCTTATTCCCATACAGATTCATGTGTTGTACTTTAAACTAAGGACACAGGTTACATATATCTTACATTACTAAATACTCAGTGGAGTTATGTACATGAGATGAATCTGGCATATGTATGGACTGTGAGAATGCAGATGAAGAGCCGAAAAGAAAAAAAAGATTTTTTTAAATTAACAGAGGTTAATATTCTGTATACTTGTGTATACTTGTCTAATCAATAAAACAAAGTAGTACACCAAAACATTTTGTACATATTTACAGCTTTAGTCAAAATGAAAAGAGTTAGATAAAGGATAGATGTTTTAGAATATATTTATTAAGCTTTTTATTACATCACATGATTTGAATGAACTATTGTGTGATAATTACATTCTTGACTTGAAAGGTGTAGCATTTCCGTAGAAATCTACTTTACGGCTTCTACTATTTAATTCTAATCACTTGGTGGATGTCTTACGAAACATACAGTGCAGAAACTATTCTGTTAATTACTTCACCCACTGGGAACGAAAAATTTTTTTTGCTACTAATCCTCATAGAATTATGTATACGTGTTAAGACAGAACCTAGGCATAAACCAGTTTATAATTCTTGAAGATGTGATTTACCCCAAAAATAAATGATAATGAGTCAATAATAAGATAATGGTAACGACAGTCTGTTTCGTCCTCGATTGGACGGAAGGTAAAACTCTGTGTAGAGGTGTACCACTTCAAGTTCAAAAATTTAAAGCTTCATAAATTCAACAAAATAAGAAATGTAATCAATTCATCTATAGAGAAAAAATGAAGTATGCATATATGAGGATACATGCCATCACAAATGTATAACCGGTTAACCAGAAACACGAAATGTTTTATTCGATAGACAATAGGTAGAGAGAGAGTTTAAACACGTCATCAATCACTACAGAAACTATCTGAAGTCGCCTTATTTTTACAAAACTCAAAATAATGCACTGAACATGATACGATATGAATAATGAATTGTGTTCAAAACATCATCCAGTAAATATTACTATTTCGCTGTGTGTATATATCTAATAAACAAATTAATGTGAAATACACTGAAAAGGTTATTCAACTTGCAAAATATAAGTCACTGTAAGCATCATACTTGAATCTGGTTGGCAGTAGCAGCTTCAGTTTGATCTTATCAGTCGCGTGCTACAATAGGTATACATTTATACTATGGAAAATAAGGGACCTTGACGCGCTTTTCGATGTGTGTTACATCCACTTAGTTAGATAAAACTCTCGTTTCTCTGGTGTTTCTGGCCAGAAATTGGTAGAATTTTTTGTAATTGGTTTGCTTTCGAACACTGATCTTATGGATATAATCTTGTTGACCACTCTTACTTATAACTAAATGTTTGCCATTTTGTGACTCTTAAACAATAATTGTATGTATTATTAGATTTACATGCCCAAGTAGCCTCAAGTCAGTGAATCTCTGGTTGACGTGTTATTTTCGGTAATTGCATTTGACAGTGATATTACTGCAACGGTTTTTGTTGATGTTGTCGCTGCTTTTCCTCTTGTGATTATTTTTATTGCTGTTCTGATTGCTTTACTTCTTTTTTTTTGCTTGTAAAGGGAGTTACCCAAAAAGTCGCTCCTCTATAACTTATGTATTTATGTAACAACCCCCTTCTCAGGTGTGAGGCTAGCAACCCCATTCTGTAAACAAAACTGCAACAGAAACTTCAGTACTATGAGTTTCCCTGCGATAAAAGAAAAAGTCTGTGTGGGCACATGAAGCATCCGCACTATATATGAGATTAGCAAAGCTGCCCAGATTGCAAATGAGATGAAGAGATATGGTATTCAAGTACTGAGAATATGTGAAAGCAGATGGAATGGGAGTGGACTCACCAAATTGTCAATGGGAGAGTCGATGATCTACTCCGGTCACCCAGAAGCCAACCACAAGCACACCGAGGGTGTGGCTATCATGATGTCACCAACGGCAACGAATGCCCTGATACGATGGGGAGCGATCTCGCCCAGGATAATGACCGCCAGACTCAACTCCAAAGGAAGGAAAGTGTCAGTTATACAATGCTATGCACCCACAAACAACGCAGACCTCGAAAAGAAAGAAGAGTTCTACAGGCAACTATAAGCACCAGTGGACAATATTCCAATCGGTGATATTAAAATCCTAATGGGAGACATGAACATCAAACTGGGACCAGACAATACAGGAAGAGAACTCATCGTAGGTAGAGAAGCATTTGGGGAGGTGAGTGAAAATCGAGAACTCCTCGCTGACTTCTGCGCCTTCAATGAAATAGTGATTGGCGGCAGCGTATGCAAGCACAAGGATATCCACAAGGTCACATGGGTGTCACCAGATGGGCGGACCAAAAACCAAATTGACTTAATCTCAATGGTGCTCAAGGGAGTGGAAACGCAGCTTACACAAAAGTAAGAAGAGGAGCAGACGTCGGCTTAGACCATCATCTCATGCAAGGAACACTCCAAATGAAGTTAAAAACTTTCAAGGAAACAGGAGCTGCAGATAGACCAAAACCAAATTCAATACTCAAAAACTAAAGTATCAGGCCATGAGGGATATCTTCACTGAACTCATAAGGGAAAAGGAAGAGACACAAATCAACACTAGCGAAGAGACCAGCGTCGAAAAACATTGGAACAACCTGGAAGCGGTGTGCAGTCAAACCTGCATGGAAGTTCTAGGCAGAAAGAAGAGACAGGATAAACAGTGGCTTACTACGAACACATGGAGACTAACAGAAGAGAGAATGGTGGTGAAACAAAAGATTATCCAGTACGTCGACGAGCAACAAAAACAGGAGTTGAATGCAATCTACAATACACTGAACGAAAGAGTAAAGAAAAGTTCCAGGGAAGACAAAGACAATATTATGAAGCTATGGCAAGTGAAGCAGAACAAGCCACAGTGCAGGCAAAGGAGACCTCGCAACACTCTACCAAACAACTAGTTTCCTATCGCGGAAGAGATCAACACAAATTAAGCTAGTGAAGGATGACAATGGAAAGTCAATCACCAAAGAGGTGGAGCAAAGGAAACACTGGGCTGAATACTTCTAAATCGACCGCCACCTACAACGAGCCAAATAATACCAACAGAGGAAGCAGAACTACCGGTGGACATCAACCCTCTGACGAAAACAGAAATCCTGAAGGCAATAAAGATGCTGAAAACTGGAAAATCAGCTGGACCATACGGAATCCCAGCAGAAGCAATGGAAATGGACCCAGAGACATCAGCAGACTTGATGACACCACTAATAGAGGTGTGGAAAGAGGGCAAGGTGCGGAACACAGGCTACCCATTCAAACTGTAAAAGAAAGGAGACTTGAGTTAATGCAAGAACTGGCGCGGAATTATGCTCCTGTTCACCCCAAGCAAAATATCAAGCCGCATCATCCTGGAGAGAATCAAACACGTCCTGGATGGAAAACTCCGATCGGAACAGACTGGATTCAGGAGAAACAAGTCATGTATTGATCAAATCGCCACATTACGGATCATCATTGAACAGAGCAGTCAGCTCTCTACCTCAACTTTATCGGCTTTGAAAAGTCTTTCGACAGCGTCGATCGAGAGGTGATTTGGAAACTACTTCACTACTACGAGGTGCCACCAACAATTATACACCTCATCCAACAGTTGTACGATAATGCTGCATGCCAAGTAATCCACAACCGGAAACTTACGGAATCCTTCGAAGTGAAGACGGGAGTAAGACAAGCTGGCTGCTTAATATCTCCAATGATTTTCCTGATTGTGGTAGACTGGATAATGCGATAGACAGCGAGCAACAAGGAGACAGGCATAAAATGGATCCACCCAAATCTTGGAGGATCTGGACTTCGCCGATGATATATGTCTGATTTCCCACAAACTGGAAGATATGCAAGTGAAAAGCAACAAGTTGGCAGGAGAAGCAACCAGAGAAGATAGGACTTCAGGTGAGCATAGAGAACACAGAGGGGGTGATAAAGATTCCTGACCAACAGCAACAATCAGCACAAATGGGAGAAATCTGAAAGAAGCAACCCCCTTTACCTACGTGAGAAGCATCGTTTCAACTACAGGCGAAACTGACGAGGATATCAAAGCGAGGATAGGGAAAGCGACGCAAGCTTTCATTACTCTCAAGTCTGTATGGAGATCAACATCACTCAGCATAAAAAATAAGACCCGATTTTTCAACTGCAATGTAGTCATTGCTGCTATACGGATCGGAGACTTGGCACGTCACGAAGAGCACTTCGAACAAACTGCAGAACGTGATTAACAGCTGCCTTCGCTAAATACTTGAAATCAGATGACCAGCAACAGGGATCTCTAGCAATGAGCGAACCAACCAGGAACCAATTGTGCAACAAATATGCAGGAAGAAATGTAGGTGGATTGGCCATAGTCTGGGAAAACCATCGAGTGACATCACACACCAGGCCGTAGCTCGACTAGAACCCGAACGGGAAGCGGCGAGTTGGTCGTCAGTGCGAGGGTGACATGGAGGAGGTCATGTGAAGAGGAGATGAAAGAATATGAGCAGACGTGGAGCCAGGTAGAAGCGTTTGCAGAGAACCGAACGCAATGAAGACGTGTGGCTGAAGCCCTATGTTCCTCTAGCAACTAAAGGAAATAATAATAATAATAATAATAATAATAATAATAATAATAATAATAATAATAATAATATTGAAAATTTAGGCAATTAAATGAGCTTAACACATATAAGTGACAGAGACTATAATATCCGACGAACCTCAAACTTCGACAAGGAATCCAAACCTCAGCATTTAATGCATCATAATCGTCGTCATCTTTCACACTAATTGAGATATCCACCAAAGAAGTTACTCCGTTATTAACTGTTTGATTCGACCATATGATTATGAATAGATCGTCTCCAGCAGACGCAAGGTATTCACCTGTTATGATTAAAATTAAAATAATTGACATGCAATTACAAAATGCTCAAAAGTGTGCAGTATGTTATGATACAAAAGTACTGGTACATAATAAGTCACACAGCAGTCAAAGCTATATTGGAATGTGACAGCTAAAAAGTCCCTAGTTTCATTATCACCCTGGACACACTTTTAAGTCCTGACATCACTCAAATATAATGCAGTCTTCAAAAAAGCATGTTTTATGTAGACGATTGAATTATTTCACAAATGATAAGACGTCAACGTCACTTCCAGCAAAAATTATTTTAAATTCTTGGCTAAATTGAACATGTACTGTAAACATTTTAGAAATACACCTACCTGAGGGTGACCAACGAACAACATTTACAGGTTTTTCATGACGTTTTAAGGAAGCCAAATGCACTAACTGTTTCAATTTCTCATTTTCTGATTTCTGCAGTGTAGTTGTCACTATACTACCGCTACACTGAGATTCTGTTTGTTTTGTTTTTATTGCAGTTGTACCCAACCAGTTCAGCTGCACACGCCATAAACGAACAAAATTATCTCCGCCAGCTGTAGCCAATCGAGTCCAATTTGATTCAGGATCCAAATCTTTAACACTTTTCACATTGATTTCGGCCAGAGGGATTCGGATAGATTTGGAATCATTGCAACCACCACTGATATTGTTATAATTATTATCTAATATATTCCCACGATTCTGTAGATCACATGAGTAAATTGGTAGTGTTTCATGCCAAGCTATTTCAGGAGTTATAAAACGCATACTGGAGTGTTGGCTGAAAGGCAGCAAAGAAAGAGTGTATACATAGGGATTAGATCAGACTTTACTAAGTCAATCTAAGTACCGTCTGAAATTAACTACTGAAAGTGGTGCTACTTATTTCTGTTCAAATTAACAGAATAATTAAAATAGGCAAACAACAAAACTCGATAACTTATTCGGTTTTATATTAGTTTTTCTCACCACTATACATCCCCCTCGGTTGTGTGAGGGTATTTTATTCCCTAATTCTGACACTGGATATACAATCAATAGATTATACATCTAAAACCTGAGATGAAGTTGTGATAAGACAGTTAAATCCTAAGACAGGCAGATAAGTACCTGGTTGCTTCAGAGTTTGCCATATTACTGTCGAACTTTGGAGATATGTTAAAATTTCAAAACTTAACAATGTTTTCGATGGAGTAGTCAGCTGTCTTTATTTCTCCATCATTACGCAATTACCACATCATATATATTTCTACAGCGAAAATCCGCTGCTGTAGCACAAACATTTACATGCCTAGTTAGGGTTTGTGATGACACAGCTGCTAAAGTTGAAGAAACTGGAGTGGAAGTAAAAAGCCGACAGCTTAGTTCAGCGAACCAAATAGTCAAAATGCAAACGAAAATATGATCTTATTTAAATTAAAAATACGGTTTACCACGTTGTTCACTTAATAAAAGTACACGAGTTAATCAATTTTCTAGTCAGTTATATAATCAATCAATCAATCGATCAATGAATCGAGTGAAAACAGAGGACTATAGATACATAGTACTGAAGACTATTCATTCCATTTAACTTCCGTTTTCTATTTTACAGTTTAGTAGAAAAACAAATTATCATAATAACACTAGAGATTAGATGAAAGTATAAAACACATTGATCATATGACTTAAAATAAGAGAACTCATACACACAACACTAAAATCAAAAAGTGTAAAAATTAGAAAAGAGCGTACATAAAAACCAAATGGACTATATGGATATCAACTTACTTAAACATGAAAAGCAACTACCTGATCAACTGATCGATTGCTTCAACCTTATTCATACACTGGAGTGTATACTTTACTTTACTTATGTTGAAGATCAGTATTACTGACTGACCGTAGAAAATACGCATAAATGAAAAGTAGTCAAAATCGTGATACAATTTCTACACTTCAACGACTAATGTAAAAAAGTTACAATAACCAAATTTCGTGAACAAGAGCAACTGTAATCTGTACTAAATCAATCCTATTTAAGTTACAATTGAAAGCTTGCAGTACTAGTTTGCAAGATGATTGAAAGTAAAGTATTATTAGGACAGAGAGCTAGCTAGGTGGTTATAATGACATACTAGACTCAACAACAAGTTCTATTATTCTTTTAATAATAAGAATTTATCGAGGTTGTCAAAAAAGGATAACAACGTTGATTCAATATCAGTCAGTCTAGGAAAACTTTGAAAAGTTATAATACATCAAAATAAGAGAATAGAAGTGTAAAGACTCTGCAATAGAAAAATGTGAGTAGCAGAAAGAAATAACTGACTAAACATTAGTGAAAATGCTAGTGATCTTGGATGGGCTATAACGTGGTTGGACGTTGATGCTATACAACAAGAAAGCCAGCAGTGGTGACTCCTCCTTCTGATTAAGCAGTCATGAAAAATTTAGACATAAACCTGTCTTTCAGTTCGCAGTTACCAGTGGTTAGCTTCTGTGTATGAGAATACATACGTGTTAACATCCAAACAGATTGCATGTATATGGTCTAAAGCAGACCTCAGTTTGCCCCTGAGCTACAGTGAAGGACATTAATGTCCAGAATGCAAGCATATGTGAAGTGTTAGCTATCCACTTATTGCCAATGAAACACATTTGGACTTGGTCAGTAGTTTACACTTTCTCTATAAATGAACAGTGCTGCAATTACACTGAGTGCACTAACCAACATATCAATATTTCTTTGGATAGTAGAAAGATAAAGATGAAAAATATACTTAGACAAGCAGTGCACCTAAGGGATTTTTAAAAATAAAATTTATGGAGGAGAGGTACACAGGGAATAGTAATAATTTCTATTACTGAACAATCGAAATAATTTATCTTTACCCATTCGAACATACAAACTAGTTCCAAATAATGTGATATAATATAGTTGAATATTAGCTTCATTTATTCGATGTAGTACACGGTTTTCTCAGAAAAATAGAAAGGGATGAGACTACACAGACCCGGTCAGATGCTGATAATCACGCTATATATATATATATATATATATATATATATATATATAAAGACGTAGCCGAAGCAAAATAATTTGATAAACCAGAAAGCATACTGGGGTTACGAATGTATCATTAACATTTAAAACACCATACTTTGGATAATGTTGAATGAGTAATACACACTGAATGTATCCAGCAAGCTATTATGAATGATTTGCTGTGTGGAAAAATGCAAACAATAGCTTTCTAATTTATATTAAGCCTTTTGGGGTATTCAAATATCTGCGGGCAACTCAATGTTTTTCTTAGCCTTTATGGTGATACGGTATTTTGGATTCACTGTTCTACAAGTATAATGTGAAGTCGATAAAGTGTCATTTTCAGGATAATCTAGAAGATATTGAACACTATAATTCGACTGGAACATGATGAAAATCCTTCAATATTCTCAGAATAATTATACAGCATTGACAATGTTTATTCTCATCACTGTAAGGCGTTAAGTAATTGATTAATACTTGGTTTTCTGATGTAAAATGCTTCCACTTATACTTTGTATTAACCTACGATTGCATACAAGACAAATAAGTCCGATTACTCCATGCCATAGCTCTTATCATCACCTATGAAAAGGGATATATATATATATATATAGCTGCATACATAAAAGGATATAAAATTTACAGCGATACGAATGAATAGACCGCTGGAATAATTTTAAAAAGTAAAACACAAGTGTCTGCTTTATAAGAAAATAATAATCATAATATATACATATTCATACAAATAAGCATACAAACTAAATAGAAAAATGTCAAGACACTGTTATTAGTCAACTTTATTACTTTTATCATTAACATTGAATGATACGGTTTTAATTTTTATTAACAATCAACTTTAATTTTGTCGCAAATGCGTAAAACAGGCATGACAATTTTAGCACATTGTTGAATAAATAAATAAATATTAAATTGGTTTTGGAAGAGAAAACATAAGAAACACATAACATCACAGAAATAAAAGAAATAAAAATTTCTGACCATCAAAGTGAGTACGTGTCAAGTGAGATCGATGAGCCTACCATAATCATTATTGTACGACAGAGAGAGAAAGAGAGAGAACAATTTACAATTTAAGATAACGGCGAACAATTTAGCAACATAAAACGGTATGGTTTTTTTTTTCTTTTCGTTGGCGCTAAGCAGTACAAATATGCGCACAAACAGTTAAACAATTAGACATGTAAGGAAGCAACAACAAACGGTTAAAGTGTGAACGTCAGGATAAAAACTTTTATTGTAGAACTGAGAAAACATCTTTGTCTCTCTTTCTCTCTTCTTCCCACTCTCTTCAACTGATATTCGTATAAAAATGAAAGCAGAAAGGTTTAAAACAACAGAATATCTTGAGTGAAAGCTAGTAACACTCTACATTCATATATGCATATATTATGTTATATTATTATATTATTATTATATTACTTAAACAATAATTTCTGAATACAAAAAAATATCAAAGAGAGGGACAGGGACAGAGACAAAAACAGAAGATAAAAGTACTTGGTAGGTATCCGTACACACTTGACTCGAAAGAAAGAAAAATTAAAAGAATTTAATTTACAGGAATATACGTCAAGCGCAAATAAATTAAAAAGTGAAAACATAAATTTAGACACAAACATACAGGGTAGTAGCTTTCATTGGATAGATCACAGTAACTGAATACGATATGAATCGCTAATCAAATGATGAAGAAAACACTTTCGGGGAGTTCTATGTCCGTCAAATAAAACTAAAAAAAGCAAACTACTACATAATTTCGGTAAAGTGACTCAGTTATGTGAATGTAATTAAAATATTATAAGACAATAATCCATGCGTCAAGGAAAAATTAAAATTAAAATACCCAGTATAGATGAGTAATTTAAAATCGTGAAGCAGAGATAAAACTTGTACGATATGTTACAATTAGAGTGATAAGGTAGGAATGAAGAAGATAGAGCTAATACATTGTTGTGCTCAGCGTGTCGCTTAAGAGAAGACAAAACAAATATTATCTTTCTTTTTTTTTAGTAAGAATGCTGTACACAATAAATATTTATCAATAAGATATTTCTACTGCATATTAAGTTCGACAGCTTGGAGGTGTAACACATCGCGCATCGTCTTCTTCATCCCCATCTTCAAAATCTAATTGCTTTTGTATATCTTTGCAACTGATCACAATTGTTGAGAATCGTTTTTCTGATGCAGAACTTCGATTACTATCAGGGGACAAAGAGGATGGCATTCTGTTGTAAAAGAATGCATTTTGTTGTGGACTGGCAGCAGCTGGATAAATTGGCTTAACAAAACGATCACTGCTGATGGAGGATGTCGTTGGTGTAGATGGCGAGTTTGAAGCTTGAATTCCCTGAATTTCTGAGGTACTTAAATTGCTGATTGGAGAGCAGCAACGGCCGGGACAGTTACGCGTACTACCTGTATAAGAGGAATTATGAAGTGATGTAGACAATGATCGACCACCTGATGCATCGCCTGAACAAGAATTAAGTGGTTGACCACATTCACGACAAACTCGCGAACCACTAACGCTAGCAGCAACCGCAACAGCAAATGCATGACCAGGACCATACAGAGATGAAGGCGTATTGTTATGAACATGAGGCAGAAATGGTGGTGTACAATCAGAAATTGTTCTTAAACGGGAGGTACGACTAGCTTCGTTAAATTGCCTATGAAACACAAGATAAAACGCGTTAGCAAATCTTATCGGCAA